GTTTTTTCAATTTATGTGAGTTTAAAGAGATCTCAGTGATGCTTAAAAAAGAATAAATTTAACATGAAGACAGTGATTTTAAGTCTGGTTAGTCTGACTGTAAGTCTGATTAATTAGAGTGATTAAATTAACTAGGTGTATACCGTAAAATACGTTGATTTTTGTCTAAATTTTGATTTTTAATTTCTGTAAGATTTTCTTATTTTTTATTAACCCTCAATACCGAAATGATCCCGGGATCGAATAAGTATAATCCCGAAATCCCGGGATTAGAAATAAGGACCGGGATCGAATTCCCTAGATGAGACTTTTAGGTTTTAGGTATAAAGAAAATCTCTCAAATCTTCAATATACATATTTGTATATTGAAGAGAAAATCTGAAATATTTGTGTCTTTAATAACATCCAGAACCCCCAGTCACACCATAACCATATATGTATAGAAATGAAGATTGACTTGGAACCTAATTATTCAATTTTTCACATTATATAAAACCTTAATAATATAAAGTAATAAAAATTATTTTTCTGATGTGGATTTATATGTTTTAAATATATTGTCTAATAAAAATTACATTCAGAATTGTTAATTAAAATTAATTATTTTTTTAAGGAATAATGCCCAAAGGATTGCATCTATGGAATCACAGCAAATAACATTTGCTTTTGAACAGGAATAGAACTGTATTAATAAGATCTCAAAAAATGAAACTTTTTATGGCAATTTTAAAATAACAACAGTGATCAGGAAGGTAAACAAGTATATTTAAGTTTATTTAAAGAAGATAAAGTATACAACCCAATTTTACCATATAAGATGCCATCCCTTGTCTTTGTTTTCATTGTATTTTTTTTTTTTTTCCTCAAAAGACACTGTGGCCAAGTTGGCCTTTTACAAGCATCTTTAACAGTAAATCAAAACAAACAAACAAACAAAATATTTGGTTTTAAAAACAGGTAAAATTAAAATGCACACTTTAATTTATATAGGAAAAAGAGAAATTTAAAAGACCTGAAGCAGATCATAGATGTAGATTGAAAACATTTGTCTTTAATATATCTAATTAAAATTCTTAACTGGTGCTATATAAAGGTTTTGAAGTGTTTGATGAAATATGTTTTCTAATAGGTATGCCTATATTTTGTATTATATACATATTTCATGATCTTACAGTGTGTTGAAAGGACAAATATACATATATCCTTTAAATCTGTTTTTACTTCAAATCTCAAATATTAGCTGGATGCTTTATAATTGCAAAGTTTATTTAAGACCATAATGTATTTTTTGTGTATCTGTTTATTGCCCTGATTTCTGATGGCAATTACTTTAAAATTATCAGAACAAGCTGTAACAAACATTCAATACATAAATGGAAATGCTTTTTATGGAGTATAAAATATACAAAAAACCAAATAGTTAATTATTTATCCTCAGGAATGCTATTGTGTTACTATGGAAGCATAAGAACAGAAATNTTGTTTTTAGAGTGAGCTTTTGCAATTCGGGGATTCCCCTTGTATTACTTTTCAATAAAATAAACTGAATTAAGTTTGAATACAAGTTTATTTTAAGCTTTTATATGAATTTCTTTCAGACATTCGAAGTAATTTATTAAGCAGCCTATTTCTTTTAATTTCTGCAAACTTTTTTATGCGGTTTTAAGTTAATTTTAACTCGTTGTTTTGGTTTTATGCGATTTTAGAAAATTACGGAACGTATCCCTACTTTTTCAAGGCAAGTAAAGTCTTTTTTATGCAAATTTTTTATATGCGCTTTTCTGTAGAACGTATCCACCGCATAAAACAAGACCTTACAGTATTCTGTTGCAAACTTAAAAAATAATAATAGTAATGATAATTAAAGTAAATAAAGATCAAGTGAAAAAGAAAGGATAGAATTTTCTAACTGGAAATCCTGTTATGATGAATTGATTACTTATTTTCAAAAGAGCTTAAAATTGCCTTAAAAATTAAATTGGTTAATGCTATTTTATGAAAAATTCAAATAGTGCATGCCATAATTTGTAATTCAAGAATTAACTTGATAGCAGCAAGCTAAATCATGATTCAGATTTAAGATTTATGTCTAGAATTAATGTATGGTGAATACCGATTTTAATTTGAGGTGTTAAATGTGACTGAATGAGTGAGTTTCAGAATATTTCATCGTGAATATATAATCTTTAGCTTTTCTGTTATCATCATCAATATTGAAGTTAAAAAACTTTGGCATCATATAATAGAATTCATAACATGTTTTGTTGTTTCTTTTGTTGTCACAAACATCACATTTGATTTTAAACATTTAAGTTAAGAATAATGTTTGTTATCAGTTTATAAATCATTAAAATTCTACATTCGATTTTAAAATTCAATTTGTTATAGTGTAATTTTTATTATTCAAACCAATCTGCTGGGTTTATATTTGACTACATGATGGCTAATAAATTATTAAGGAATTAAGTAATGAAATGGTAGCAGTTAAACTACAGTTTCTTGTTAAATTTAATAATTAGAAATAAATAAGTTTTAATTTAAAATAATCTGAAAGAAATTACAATAATATTCAGGTATCCATTACAAATTAGGAAAATGAAAAGTGGGTGAGTTGACTAGTAATGGTTACATCTAAAATTATTTAAGTGGTCAGGAAGTGATTAGATGGAGGTCCAAGTAACATGGCTGGCAATGCATTTGCACTGTAAGCAGATGTTTTGGGTTCAAGTTCCCTCTAGGCTGAGCTTTTCTTCCAGAATATTCTAAATTATTTCAGATCATTAATTTAACATGAGATGTAGTCATAATGTAGCCCAATATGAACCACTGTATAGTGGTTCATTTGAATAATTAAATTATCAAGTTTTTATGTTATGCAATTCTTATTTCATACATTTTGTTCAATAAAAAAATTCTATAAATCTTTCTCTGAATTTCCTTTTAAATTTAAATGTATTCTCTCTGAATTCTGATTAGGAAAAGTATTGATTTACATTTAATTTCAAAATGTTTAAGCAGAAGATTGTCAAACAATTGACAATATGTTTGACATTCTGTTTCAGTCTTTACATTACTTTATAGCACTGTATTCTTTCTGTTGTTTAAAACTTAATTTTTGTAATTTATAATTTCACAATTCAATTTTTTTTTTATGTTTTAGGATGAAACCTCGAAAACAAAGTGATGATATTGCAAGAACAATTGCTTGCCCCCATAAAGTAAGTTTTTTAATATAATTAAAATTGACTTGTGAGCGCTAAGATTGGTCTTACTTTACCGCTAGACTTATTACACTATCAATGATGGTGTAATAAGTCTAGTGGTAAAGTAAGGCCAATCTTAGTGTTCACAAGCCATTAAGAAGTCTAGATAAGAAGCGTATCATAGTAATAATTAAAATTGTTTTTAAAGTTAAATTGAAATTTAAAGATTTTAGCTTAAATCAAGATTTCCAACAATTTTTATCCATTTATTATTTTTATAAAAATATTTTTTCTTATAGGCTTATTAATCCAAAATAACACTAATCTGTGTTATTTTGTGCCTTTCACATATTTCCAGCAATCACCTGATGTTGCAAAATCCCAAGTGCAAACATTTTTGGCCCCTTTCAGTGGCCATCTTCAGACATTTCCATTGAAGATATGCATTAGCATTTGAACCATTTTTTTTTTAACACACTGGAATTTCTCAGTTTGAATTCCAATGCAAATCTTCAATGGAAATGCCCAAAGCTGACCACTGAAAGGAACCAAAAAGATTTGCACTTGGCATTTTGCAATGTTGGGTGATTGCTGGAAACTTCTTCTGAAGGTACAGATTAGCTAAACATTAGCAATATAATGATTTCAGATTTATGTATAGTCTGTGTTTTATAAATGATTTATAAGAAAAATCTGTTAATAGATGTTTAATAAAAAAAAACAAAGCATATATGTATGTATTTTTTATATATATGTATAAAATAATTGTTCAGAGTTGTTCGTATATCACAATGGTATTTAAAATATGACTTAAAAGCTAAATGACTCTCAGATGTTAGTGGTGAGACTAATGAAATGTACCTGACTACTCAGAAATTCCAAATGAAAAGTTTAGATAATATTACCACAATATTTCAAAAATTAAAAAGAATTTATATATGAAATTAATATTATATTAGAAAGAATAAATTATACAGCAGTAAATAAACTTAGAGTAAGTTTATTTACTGCTATATAATACTGACTTATAACAATCAAGTAACAATATTGTCTTGCTATAAATAATCACTGTTGCAGAATATTTTCAGGACCCAAAACATTCCTGAAAATTATTGCACACAAATAAAACAACAATTTATGAAGCAATTAATAATTATTTCTACATAGTTTGAGAAATTCAAATTAAATCATACAAATAATTATTTAATTGTGTGTCATCATCATAGGATAGCAAATACAATTTTAACTGTTTATCAATTGTATTGATAGCATGTACAATTATAAATGCATATATGTTGATTAATAAAAATAAAATTGAAGTTTATGCCATAAATGACCTATTTTTAGCATTGGGTGCTAATTAATGGATGTTTTGAAGTTCAAAAAACATAAAATCTCTTGAATGAGTTATAGATACTGGAACCAACATAACTATTGTGATATACACATCTTGCTCACTTTTCCAGTAGACCATTGTACAGGTTACAAATGTTTTTAGTTTTTTTTTTTGAGGATCCTACCTTGGGTTGTTCTCTTGTATGAACTTTGAAATTTCAAATCTTTTAAATTTTCAACAATGAAGATCAAACAAGAGAACACCCCAAAGCAGGCTTCTCAAACAGTTGAAAACATTTGTAACTTGTACAATGGTCTGCTGGAAAAGTGAGCAACAAATGTATATCACAACAGTAACAAAATTATTTAAGAAATGCACCAAGTTTTTTGCAAAAAGATGAACTTTTTAGATTTTTTGACTGACTTTTTATCACCATCATCATCCTTACTATTTTAAATGAACCATATTTTTATGATTTTTCAACATTAATATTTTTTATTGTATAATAAATCTATGAAAAAATATAAAAATAAAGGTAAATTATGTCTATAGAGTATTGATAAAACTTTTGTTTGGCTATTTAGTTGAGACAATTTAGAAAAGTTTTTAATGCAGTTTATTAATTTACAAATTTCCCATGTGGGGGGAAGAGTGACTGTTTTGTTTCAATTCAAGCTAATGAAAAATTCTATCCATTTAAAATGGTGTTGAATAAAATTTTGAAATAAAAATGGCTTCCTTTTTGGTATTTTTTAAAGCCATGTTTTGGTTTCAGTTTTTGTAAAAATCAAAACTGTGATTTGGTAACCAAGACTTACTCATCCCTATTTGCAAGCACATAATTGTGTAAGTAGGCAGTGATATAATGAGTGACTGAACTGATCAGAAACAGAAGAAACAACATTACAATTTCACTTTTAATTACATTACTTTTTTTTGCTACTACCTTAATAATATTTTTTCTGCCATAAATTTTCCCCAAATCTTGTTTACATGATTAGCTGTTATTTATGTCTATTTCATTACCCTGATATATCATTGAATGTTTTAATTGTATAAAAAATTTCATATTTGAATTTTGTCTTAAATTTATTTTATGAACAGCTTGATTCATTACGTCAGTTGTATATAATAGTATAGAATTGTTCATAAAAATATGTTTTATAAAAATAAGCATCAAAGTTCACAAAAAAAAGAAAAAAAAAGGATATTTTATCAATCTCATTTCAAGTTATTTTATGATCATGAATTATGTAGATTATTTCATTTCTGAGTAAGTAATTTTATATTTTTAGGGATGTACTAAAATGTTTCGTGACAATTCTGCAATGAGAAAACATCTTCATACTCATGGACCCAGAGTTCATGTGTGTGCTGAGTGTGGTAAGGCTTTCGTGGAAAGTTCTAAACTTAAACGGCATCAGTTGGTACATACAGGAGAAAAGCCATTCCAGGTTAGTTATTTGTTACTAACAAAAGGTTAAAATAAAAACTATGTTTCTAAGGATGTTTGCTTTTACTGGGTTCAGATTTTGCAGACTTTTTATAAACTTATATGCAACATACTTGGTTTTCTTAATTTTATTCTGTTATTTTATGTTTATATCTCTGAATATAATACAGCATGTCTCAGAATAAATTTACAATTAAAAAATTAAATAAAACTCCAAATCTAATTAACTGAAAAATTTTTATTAATGAAATATTATAGTAAACATATGTGTATTTCATCTTTGAAAAATTACATCATTAAGATGTCATCTATCTTGGTAACAGCATGCCTCCAATCTACCCTTCATATTACTGATGATTAGGGATGTTCTGATACTACTGGTACTGTATCAATACAGTGGTACCTTGACTTAAAGTTTTTCAAGATGAGCCATCTCTCGGCCAGTTTTTTGCTTTGAGTTGAGAGCTAAAATTTGAGTTACAAGCCAGCTTCAGATACCCCACCACTAGTTGGTGCAGCAAATCATAGATTAAGAAAAAGATGGAAAACTGCCGTAATTTCGTCATTTTTGTTACTCTTCCAATGTCTGACAAGTTAGCTTATAGAAAAACATATGATCAAGTGACTTAGGCATTAGTTCACTTCTATGTTGTGCGCAGCACCACTCTCTTTCATTTCTCAACTTTTCCATCTTATCTTTCTTTACCTATGAAGTGAATGCCACACAAAACCAGTTTGTTGCAATACATTCTATTGTGTTTTTATACAGTATTTGTTATTTATAAGTACATTTTTCTTATTTCAAAACATGTAACAAAAAAATTGCGGTGTTTTGGGGATCTGGAACAGATTAACTTCATTTTGATGGGGCAAATTGATTTGACATATGAGTAATTTGAGTTACAAGTTCCGTCATAGAACAAATTAAACTTGTAAATCAAGGTACCACTAAACTTTCCTTCAGTACCAAATACTTTTCGTATTCAAAACTTTTAATTTGATACTGATACTAGTATTGACTTTACCTGTCTGTGAAAAATATAATATCAGATCCGATACCTAAAGTAAAGTCCAACCAAAACTGGAATTTGCAGCAAATCAGAAAATGAAATGGAATTTTACTATTTTTGGTCAAGTTAAACTTATATAAAAAATATATATAATGACCAAAAAGCAATAAATGTACTACATTAAATTTCATTTCCAGAATCTATACATTAGAGTTCTGATTACTATTTATAAATATTTACTTAGATATTATGCAGTACTTTTGTTTGTTAATCAACTTGGACCATTAGTGATGTTTAAAATGAGCTACAATTTGTATATACTTGTTTACACTGACATTTGTAAAACTTGAACACAGTAAGAACTTTCAATGTAAAAACTGTTTTATCTCTTTACAAACAATTTTTTTCCACCCCTATCCCATGCATAGTAGTACCCACAGAGCTCATTAGCAGGACTGTAGATCTGGGGCTTGTTTTGTGTACACAGGGCATCATATGAGTCCAAACTGAAGTACTGATTGGCACACTGACTTCTGAACCAGATAGTCAGGATTCAATTTCCTGGAACAACCTACAAAATATTAATTGCTGCTCTGGGGCCCATTTAGCCTTCATTGTAATGAGTATAGTACAGCAGTAAAAACAACTAAAAGGCGATGTGACATTTCAGAAGATTTCCAGTTTTGATACCTGGTGCTGATACTGGCATGTATCAATACTTTGGGGTATCAGGATATCTCTACTGATGATTCACTAAAAAATTTCTGCAGGGATAGTGTTTATTTTTGGCTCTAATTTTTTTTTTTTTTTTTTTTTGCTCTAACTGTTGAATATTGTTTTAGAAGGCCATCTAGACTTTTCTCATGAGATAGCCCTACAAAAAATAATCAATAGGGGTAAGTTCAAGTGGCCTTGGAAGCCAGTGTATGAAAGAATCACTGAACTTTGAGATAACTTTACCCCGAAAAAATTCTTGAACATTGCTCATTGAGACTTTTGAAGTGTGCTGTTGCTCCATCCTGCTGAAACCAGGTATTTGCATTATAGGCAGGATACTGATAAAGCTTTGGTATTAATAAATTTTTTTCATTTCTTAATAGCATATACTATTGACAGTAAGTGAGTAACTTAGCCATTCTCAAAGAAATACAGACCAATAATTCGTACCAAAGACATCACACACCAAACTGTCAGTCAATGATTGTATAATGTTCTCCAATGTTTGTTTTTAGGGGTTTGTTCAGACCAGCAGTGACAGTTTTGTTTGTTAATGTATCTTTTAAGGTGGGAGTGGGCCTCAACACTCCAAAAAACATTAGTTAAGCCATTATTGGAAACAATATCTTTCAGCATTTTTTTACAATAAGACTTACATTTTTCATAATCCATTGTTTCCTGCACAGTTTGGACAGTATGTGGATGTAAGCACGGGTTTAACTTTAAAATCCAATGAACCAACAAATGATGGATGCCAAGAACAGCTGCATATTTGCACACTGTGTCTCAGTTACATCATAGAACAGCCACTGATACAATGTCCACATTTTTTATCATAGTTCTTATTCAACCTGATTTTCAAGTATTTAGTGCTGAGGATGGCACCCTAAATCTTTTCACTCATGAACAGACAAGATTGATGCTTGGTGCATCACTCAAATAACAGATATTACACCAAACATAAAACTGGCTTTTAGAAACTGCATAAGAATTGTTTGTCTTGAAAAAGGCCTCTATGATAAATGCATATTGCTCAGCTGACCATTGTGATGTTGTTGCTAACAAATCTGCACTCTCCTCTACCAAATGTACTCATTGCCCTCTAGTGGTACCCCATAATTGACATTTTATTCATTTTTAAAGTTGAAAATTTATTCTGAGACACCTTTACATTCATACAAATCATCCTTTCTCAAAATGGGCAATAATGCCCTCTTCTGGATGCTGGAGGCTTTCAGGGGGGCAGCAGAAGGTTCAGTGATTAAATATGAGTTTTATTTCTTCTCATTGAAACATTCTTTGATCTCAGAAATAGGATATGGGTCACACCCTATCTATCCTATCCATATAATAATGCATGTTTAAACATTATATTTGCAATAACTGGTTTTGAGATATGCAACAGATGGTAATATAAAAAGGTAAGTTAAAAAATATGGGACACTAGATTTTTTTTAATCTCAAAGTGGGTGGTGGTCGAAATAAGTTTGAGAACCTGTGATATAACTTATCTTTCTTCATATCATACATGTTTGAAAATTTATCTGTAGTTTCAAAAAATGATAATATGTACTACTATTAAAATCTAGAAATTGTTTAATAGAGCAAAATGAAATCCAAAAATTAAGTTTGGTTGTTTTTAGTATATGATGTATTTTTATATACTAAATATAATTTTTTTTAAATGGATAATAAATTTTGGATACACAATATTAAAAATTATTACCTATATTTTCTTTTATGATGATAATATTTTTTACAGTGTACATTTGAAGGTTGTGGAAAACGATTTTCTCTAGATTTTAATCTTCGGACTCATGTACGAATTCACACTGGTGACAGACCATATGTTTGTCCGTTTGATGGTTGCAGCAAAAAATTTGCACAGTCAACTAATTTGAAGTCTCATATCCTCACACATGCTAAAGCTAAGTAGGTTTTTTTTTTTTTTTTTAATTTGTGCTTTACTGTAATCTAGAAAGTTAAATAACATTTTTAACAAAAAAATTAATATTTGTTTTATAAGCGCAATGTAGCGTAGTAACAATCACTTGACACGATTCATTTCTTTATTTCAATTTTCGTTGGAGTCTTCAACGAAAATTGAAATAAAGAAATGAATCGTGCCAAGTGATCGTTATTATGCTACGTTGCGCTTATAAAACAAATAAAAAATACGACATGGTTTCAAAATATGGGGAAAAAATTAATATATTAATATAATTAAAAAAACAACCACAAACCTTAGAATCTCCAGTTGTAAATTTTTTTATTAGTGACTGACATTTTTGATTTTAAACAGATCTTCAGATCTGAATACACAATTGAATTAGAATGCATAATAGAACATACTAGTTTAAAAAATTGGAACATATAACCGTGCATTATATTTTAAATAATAATTTCATTTTTTGTACTTTTAAAAAATCGTTACTGATATTTCTTTTTTTATTTTTATTTTATATCTAATTACACTATGTATTTGCTTATTGGTTGTTCCAGTTTTTTATACTAGTATATTTTTTTTCGCATTCTAATTCAGTTGTGTATTCAGACCTGAAGATCTGTTTAAGATTGAAAATGTTAGTTGCTAATAAAAAAAATTTACAACTGGAGATACTAAGGTTTTGTAGATGTACAATTAGACCCAGTTTATTTTTATTTCTGTAGAATTATTAATATAATTGATTACATTAATATGACTCACAGTTCTGTTAATCACAAATAAGTTTTATATTTATGTTAAGAGTTAATTATTAATGAAATAGATAATTTGTTTAAATCTAGAACTGTATTAATAAGATCTCAAAAAATGAAACTTGTTATGGCAATTTTAAAATAACAACAGTGATCAGGAAGGTAAACAAGTATATTTAAGTTTATTTAAAGAAGATAAAGTATACAACCCAATTTTACCATATAAGATGCCATCCCTTGTCTTTGTTTTCATTGTATTTTTTTTTTTTTTTTCCTCAAAAGACACTGTGGCCAAGTTGGCCTTTTACAAGCATCTTTAACAGTAAATCAAAACAAACAAACAAACAAAATATTTGGTTTTAAAAACAGGTAAAATTAAAATGCACACTTTAATTTATATAGGAAAAAGAGAAATTTAAAAGACCTGAAGCAGATCATAGATGTAGATTGAAAACATTTGTCTTTAATATATCTAATTAAAATTCTTAACTGGTGCTATATAAAGGTTTTGAAGTGTTTGATGAAATATGTTTTCTAATAGGTATGCCTATATTTTGTATTATATACATATTTCATGATCTTACAGTGTGTTGAAAGGACAAATATACATATATCCTTTAAATCTGTTTTTACTTCAAATCTCAAATATTAGCTGGATGCTTTATAATTGCAAAGTTTATTTAAGACCATAATGTATTTTTTGTGTATCTGTTTATTGCCCTGATTTCTGATGGCAATTACTTTAAAATTATCAGAACAAGCTGTAACAAACATTCAATACATAAATGGAAATGCTTTTTATGGAGTATAAAATATACAAAAAACCAAATAGTTAATTATTTATCCTCAGGAATGCTATTGTGTTACTATGGAAGCATAAGAACAGAAATCTCTAAAGCAGTTATGATATAATCATTACATTAGATTGGTGGTTCTCAGCCTTTATTTAGAATGATTCACATCACAATAAATGTAGGGTGTTTTGTGGAACATTGATGCTATATATAATTAATGCAATTGGCATTTAAATTGACAAATAATTTATGCATCTCAATTTATCTGAAGTGGATACATATATTGTAAATTGATAAATGTTTGCATATGATATAGTTACAAATATGATTATACAACCAGCTCAAGAAATTAATTTTTATACATCAACACAATAATTATTTATTTTCCATATATGTAAATAAATAAAAACATTACTATAAAGTAAAATATGCCAAAAAAATTGATTGAATTAGTTTAGATGAGACTAGAGGATTTGATCCCGGGATCTCGAAAATCGGGATCCCGACTACTTTTCAGTCCCAAAATTTTCGGGATTAAGTTTTCCTAATTCCGGGATTTTCGGGATTGACATCATTTTAAAAAAATTGCAAAATAGACTGCATGAAGCGAAACGTTCAGTGCCAGTGCTTTTAACAGAATTGCTTGCCTATCATTTTAATATAAAATACAAGAAATTTTATTCCAAGCAAGCAGCAGAAATTAACCAAGCGGGCTTGCGATGCTTGCTTGGAATAAAACTTCTTGTATTTTCAACTAAAATGATAGGCAAGCAGTTCTCACTGGGTTACTTGGTAATATACTTCATTTTTGTATTTTTGAATTTTCGCGGGCGCCAATCGATTTTCTGGCGCAGTCGAGAGCACTACTCAGTGCGTTTTACCTGTCAATGTGTCAGCCATCTTGTTTTGCCAGTGTGGTTAATATAGACCTGACGCTACTCGCTTAGGGGGGGTCGACCTTAGGTGAAAAGGTTATGACCCTCGCCTTGTCCGCGATCTGTCAGGATGATGCGAGAAAGTCTTTTTACGTTTCGGGGTAGTGGTTTGCTGAACGCTGAGAGACTCACACAGAGACCGAATTTACAAAATTAACGCGTTTATTTTTTGAAAAACATGCTTACAATGATCGAAACAATCGGGATTATAGCCTTTACTCCTACAATCCCGATCCGTGTCGACCGGACTGTTTTCTTCCATCCTCCCCGTGTCCTCGAAGCTTATAAGTATTTACTAACGATTCCTCCAACTTCCATCAACCTAAACGCGTTTTCTCTGCAGCTGCATATATGTGCAACAAATTGAGAAGCAGACTTGGTGATGAGACACTAGATGCGTTGTTATTTCTCAGATCATATTTTCGCAATTCAAATTAGAATGTTCCTATTAAATTAGTTTTCTTTATATTTAAGAAAAATGTGACTGATTAATATTATTTTTAAATACTTTTTCCTAAGAAACTTACTTTACTACCTACTTACTAGGTTGTTATATGAAAGTAGTCTATTTAGTCGATGTTAAGAGAGATTTTTGTGAATTTTCAAGGTTTATTTGCATAGTTTGTTACATAAAAGTTTTTTCAATTTATGTGAGTTTAAAGAGATCTCAGTGATGCTTAAAAAAGAATAAATTTAACATGAAGACAGTGATTTTAAGTCTGGTTAGTCTGACTGTAAGTCTGATTAATTAGAGTGATTAAATTAACTAGGTGTATACCGTAAAATACGTTGATTTTTGTCTAAATTTTGATTTTTAATTTCTGTAAGATTTTCTTATTTTTTATTAACCCTCAATACCGAAATGATCCCGGGATCGAATAAGTATAATCCCGAAATCCCGGGATTAGAAATAAGGACCGGGATCGAATTCCCTAGATGAGACTTTTAGGTTTTAGGTATAAAGAAAATCTCTCAAATCTTCAATATACATATTTGTATATTGAAGAGAAAATCTGAAATATTTGTGTCTTTAATAACATCCAGAACCCCCAGTCACACCATAACCATATATGTATAGAAATGAAGATTGACTTGGAACCTAATTATTCAATTTTTCACATTATATAAAACCTTAATAATATAAAGTAATAAAAATTATTTTTCTGATGTGGATTTATATGTTTTAAATATATTGTCTAATAAAAATTACATTCAGAATTGTTAATTAAAATTAATTATTTTTTTAAGGAATAATGCCCAAAGGATTGCATCTATGGAATCACAGCAAATAACATTTGCTTTTGAACAGGAATGAAACACCAGGTGAGAAAATAGTGCACAAGAACTTGTTACCCAAGAGTCCTTAGTAAAATTGACATGTGTACAATCACAGTATATATTAACTAAGGACATTTTATACTTGGGACACGACATTGGGTATCCTGTTCTCCTGGCATTATCGGTACCTCATTTATCGATGGATAAAACAACAACCGTCACGGAAACGCAGCATGAATTTTTGTTTCAGTAGGTTTGCTGGAGGTTTCAAAGCCAGGAAGTTAGCACTACTTACTTTCTCACGTTACGTGACAAGTCCATCAATCTGTATACTATGTACAAAGCTTGTGTATTGATATTTTAATTTCTTTGTACTCTATGGAAATGCTGCATCTCAAAAATACCTTCTTCTGTGTAAAGGATGTATTTTCTATATATTAATTATGACAATGTGGAGTAAAAAACAAAGCACTTCTTTTTCTGTACATTTTTTAGATGCATTACTTGGAGTGGCTATTTAATATGTCATTCCATTTCCCTTGTTGTGAAGTTTTTTATTTGAACTTGGATCTTCAACATTATGTTTTTGACTGTCACCACAAATCATCCTGAAATGTTTATAATGGAAGAGTGGAATACGTCAACTGCTTATGTGAAACAATAAAAAAATTTTTTTGAAAACATGGAAAAATACACATTAACAATTAGTTATGTGGTAAATCTGTAGCAATAGCTCAGAGGCTATTAAACATTGTAATATAAAGTGTTTTCCCCTTAATCAGTATATATATCATATGATTTTACATCAGATTGTGGTATATCAGTTTATCCTTCACAGATTTAATTGTAATTTAGCATAAAATAATAATTTGTTATATTCAATCATTATGATTTTCCAAGTGTCCTAACATTCATTTATAATTTTTTGAATTAATTATTTTTCTTTCTAAAATTCAGTTTAGAATTTTGATTTTAACAAATTGTACAACATAAACACAAACTTTTTGTTATTACAGTGCCAATATGCCATTATTTCATACAGAATCAATAGATTGATTGTTTTGTTCAGGTAAATATGGTAGGTTTCTCAGAAATGAATATTTGCACTTTGTCATTTATTCGCTCACCAACAATAAACACTTCTATACTATTATTGTTGATCTCTTATTCCATATGTTCTGGTTTTAAGATCATAATAAATAAATAATAATTAAAGATACAAATAAAGTAAATAAAGTACAAATGAGAATCATGTAATATGAAACTAATAGACCAATTAATTTCCAAAAATAATTTTATATGAAGATATATTTTCTTTCCATACTTAGCTTAAGAAATTTTTTATATCTTAAAATGAAAAATGTCATAAAATTTTTAAATTTGCATTAATTATTAATTAAATTTTCCTGTTGGTTTTAATATCAACAAAGTCAAAAATACATTAAAATTGGATGTATAAGCTAAGTGTTTAGTGATAAGACATTTTTCAAGACCAAAATGTCTTGTCCGATCAACATTCCATTAAAAGTTAATTTAAATCATTTGTGTAATTGTTTTCATTTCATTGTAAGTTCTGGTGTTTTTAATTTGTAATTTTTTCATTTTTATTGTTGTCATAAACTTCAAAGTTTCAGTAAAATTGGATTTAAAATATTTTATTCATTTTCAATAAAAATTCTTCATTTTCTTCAGTTTACATTTGTTGTTTTTAATAAAACATTGATCTGATGATGATACATTTTGGTCTCAAAAAACATTTTATTACCAAACACTGATTTCTACATCCCAGTTTTATTTTGGCTGAATCAATATATAAGAATTAATGATAAATACTTTCAGTTATTGACATTACATAGGAAGAGTCTGTTTTAAGGAAAAAGATATAAATTATTATTCTTAATTTTTATATCAATTTAATTTTACAAATAGGCTAACAGAAAATGTTTTTAGAATTTGCAGAAAATAATTAAATATTGCACATTACATTATATTATTATTGAACATTCCTGTAAAATTTCACAATAATAAATCCGTTTAATAATATAAAGTATAGTACATAAAATCCCATTTTACAATGAAGACAATTGTTACGTATTCATTTCAAAAATGTGAAAAGTAAAAAACTAACATGTGAACATTTTTTAATACAAGATTTTTATAAATTGCATTAATTATATTTTGATCTCAAATTTAATTCATGTCAGTAGGTGGACTATAAGTATTTATTCCAGCCATTTTTTTTTCCAGTACAAAGTGAGACGTGATATTACTTCATTAGAAACTCACTAAAACAATATAAGATGGTAACAGTCGCAAAAAATAATTTATCATCATCTATTCGAATTTATGTACTTTTTACAGTTTCTCTTTCTCATATTATCCACTAGGCAGGTCTTAAATTGAAGAAATGAATTCTAACGGTATTCATGTAACAGAAATATGGACAGGATTCTAAAAATCAAGTAGGGGCTGTCCATAAATGACGTCCACACTGGAAGGGACAGGAGGGGTTGAACTTCAATGGACGTCCATTTTATGCGGTTCATACATACATTTTATTATTTATAAAGTGGTAAAGATTTTGAGGAGGGGTTGAGTTTTGTTAGACGTCGAAGAAGGGAGGGGGTTACGGAAACTTAGACAAATTGGGACAATGGGGAAGGGGACTAAAAATTTCAAGAAAAATGCGGACGTAATTTATGGACAACCCCTAATAAATGAATTGGCTTTAGAAAAGAGGGAGTAATTTAAACAATTTTAAGTGTGATTCAAATAAAACCTTTAAAAACAATTCTATAGAATTTTCTTAATTTGATTCAAAGATGTCTTTCTAGCTGAAGTTTAATTGGAACTCTTAAAAACGAGTTTAAAATTAAATAAATTAATTTCTTTTCTGATAAAGCGTGTTTGATAAAATATTTCATCGAATTTCAAAACTGAAAATATATTTATTGAAAAGCAAAACTTAGAATATCAAGTTAAACAAGAAAACGATAATGCAATTTTCTAAGGAAAAACAATGATTAACGAATTGACTATAATTTAAAGGAAATTTATAAATAATTCTATGGCTATTATTAGATGATAGTTTATTACATAAAATATGTAGAGAGACCCAATCTATGTCCTAGGAAAGTCTTAATCCGTCACAGTCAGTTATAACTAAAGTATTTATCATCATTAATTTCAGATCAATTAATAGTTTAGGACTTCTTAGCAATTACGAAGCATATTTTAATAACATCTAAAAAAGAAATCAAACCTTATATCTGCGTCCTCAGTGTATTACTTATTTCCATCGCTTATTAAATTTGTACTTTAAATATGGCGTCTGAAGCAGACGACAAATATCAACTTATCGTCTGCCGATTTGGTTTTAGTGTAAGTGTTGCCAGATAATTTTTTAACATATATTTTCCCCCGTTAAAATATAAATACATTATATTTGTAAAAAATACTTTATTTTGAAAATTTAGAAGTTAAGTTTAATTACGTTAGCAAAAAATGAATTTTATTACAATATTTTTGACCTACGAGTTACCTTAGACGGCCGGATGGCCGAGCGGCCAAGGTGGCAGCTGCCGCTCTGGGAGACCTGGGATGGAAAAATTCCTGGGGATTTTTCGATCCTGGGTTCCCCAGGTGGTTCGTTCGAATGTCGTGTTCCGTCCTTTACCACCCGGCCGCCCCATTGTGAGCCTGGCCGAAGCCATAATGGGCTTGCTAAAAGAGGCCCTCCAAGTGCCCAAAGAGTGGCCGTATGGCCGAGCGGTCAAGGTGGCAGCCTACCGCTCTGGGGGACCCGGGTTCGATTCCGAACGGGTCGAAAAATCCCCAGGAATTTTTCGGGGGTGGTCCGTTCGGATATGTCGGGCCCCATCCCTCACCACCCGGCAACCCCATTGTGGGCCTGGCCGAACCCATAATGGGCTTGCTAAAAGAGGCCCTCTTAGTGCCCACAGAGCGGAGTTAAAAAAAAATAAAGGTACTAGTTACCGAGGAAACTCGCTACAAATACAGTATATTGAAAACAGAGAACTGTTTTGAATGTAAAATATTTCTAAAATTATTTTCATTTATAAGTACTTTTTGAAGAATCAGCAATGTTTTGATAATTATGAAATAAGCGTATTTCCATTTCGTATTTGGAGTCGAAATTAGAATCAGAACAAGTTTTCTCTTCAGATATGAATTATTTTACAGTAATGCCATCAGATTAATTTGGAAATAATTTAGTTTTATTTTCTCAAAATTATTTTGATTTCTAAAATTAAAAATTATCTTTTCGCGTAAACTAATACTAAACTGCTCGTAGAATATATGATTATTAAATTGATATATGAATTTGAATACTAGTATTAAATAAATAAAATCACTAAATTTTTTTGTGGTCTCGGGTTCGCGCCTCATCAACGGGCTGCGTGTTCTTCGGATTTTCTTCGTGTAACATCTAAATAGGGACCGGTTTCCCATAGAAAGTTCTTCGGGATGCATCGTCTATGTGTTGCGTTACTGTATCCTATTACACCAAACCATATTTTGTACTTAAAATTTATTGAAAGTTCGCTATAAATATATAAGAAACACACAAAATGAAGTCTATTTAAAATTTAATAATTGTAAAATTCGAGAATTATTACACAAATGTTGTATATATAAACTTACATAGTGCACTACAATATAAGTAAGAAGTCTAATATGTATATACCGGTATATATATATACACACACACACACTATAAATACTTATATATACATTTTGTATATATACTACACTGAATTAACAACCATTATTTTCGTTATGAAAGTTTCACTGGAAAAAGTGTGCAGCATATTTTTAAACAGGAATGTTTTTACAAAGAATATCATTCTGAAATTTAACATTGGTATAACATATAAAAGAATTTCGTTTATTTGACCTTTATTCAAAATTCGATAATGGTTGGTTGCTTTATTCCATTAACATGTTAGTATGTTTTTCCATTCTCAACCTTATAGACTTCTTATCCGCTTCGAAAAGCATAAGAACCCAAGTAACTGCTGAGAAAGTAGCAGCGTTTGTTGGAAATGCCCTTATAACAGTTGAATTCAGTCCTCTAAATAATACCTTATATCCTTCACTAATTATACTCTTTCTCATACAGTCACTCATTCCGCTATATAACCTTTGGCTTCCGATTCCGTCAGCTTGTAACCTTGATTTCAAGACGTCTACGGGATAGACTACAATCCACGAGAGAACACCAGCTAATCCACCTGCCATTACAAGTCCTATTGTATTTACATCTCCGTTAGAATCCGTAAAAAACTGAGTTAAAAATTCATAACCGGCAAAATAAACACCGAAGGCAGGAGCATCCCTCATAGCGGTCGCGCACAAACCTCTAAATATTCCTCTGGTTCCATCTAACCGATAGATCTTGAATAAACAGTCTAAAGGCGAATTGTAAAAAGGTTGGGGTCTTTTCCAATATGGAAAATAATATTTCGGTTTGCCTTGACCTTGTAATTGCATTTGTATTTTTGCTAATTCCATAGGGCTGCAAACAAGACTCTGTACAACACCTGTACTAACTCCTGCAACAAACTGACTGCAAAGTGAGTTAGGATTTGGTAGCGATCTGAGAATATTTCCGTAAACGCCAAAAACGATAGCATTTATAGCTGCTAATCCTGCCATTGGTGATGACATACCCTTATACAAGCCAGATATCTATAATTTTTAAATAAAATTATTTTATATTTTGCTGTATTTTTTATAAATAAAAATATGACCGAAAGGTATAACTCATAGGTGGAGAAACATTTTAATCAAAAGGCCACATCTAGTCGACTGCATAAATTATACTCGACATACACATATATGCCGTTTTTATAATAAATAAAACAAAACGATTAAAAACAACTTGAAAATATCAAAATAGTTATTTGTAAATTATTTATGTGATAAATGAAGAAAAACAGATGCCCAAAATCTTATTTCTATATTATTTTTAATTTTGTCATTCCGTACTAGAGGCTACAAAAGGCCGCATGTGGCCTGAAAATCGCAGATTCTCCACTTATGGTATCACCTATTTTTATTTAAATTAATTTTATTATTATTATTTTATAAGAACTTACCGATTCGTTCTTGACGATCGAGACAAAACAATGGAAAGTTCCATTATACATGGGTTTAAGTGTACATTGCGTTTGCAATCTCACCTAAAGAAAAAAAAAACAGTATCATATATTATTCCGAAAATGTATATAGTTATCAATGTTTATATAAAATCTTAGATAAATATTAGATCTGTTATGCTCCTATCAACTAATGTTAGGTTAAAGAATATAAAAAGAGTAATTTTGATTGGATCTCAAAATTTGATATATTTAAGAATAAACAAGTTTAGACGAAAACAACTATTCATATTAAGTCGAAGTCCTTTTGAATAAACAAATATATTTATCATATTTGAAGCATATAAAGGTTAAAACTTCAATAATATATAGCCTAATTGAACTATCTTATAATAATCTACACTAAAAACCATTTTAAAAAAGTCAAAAATTTTATTTTAGCCACTCATTCTTCTAAAATCGGTCAGATAAGTTTTTTTAATTGGAATTCCCAGTCACCTATATAACCACTAACGTATAGGCCTACACATCAAGTTAAATCGATATGAATTGCTGTTGCTATGTGGCATCTTACTTCAATTTTAATCGTTCTTGTTCGAATACAAATTAATTTTAAATACTAAAAAATATACTAATATAGCCTACCGTGTATTAATTTTTAATTAGACGTCTGTAGAGACTTTAAATAACTTCATAAACTAAATGATAATCAATGTTTAGATACGTGATTATACAAAATTATTATTATCTTGTTTATATAAGATGATAAATAATTTATCTGTGTTTATTTCTGATTTAACTGATTAAAAAATCACCATTTTGATCTTTTTATTCCACAAAACTGTTCGACTGTTAATGAATTTTTCATTTTTGTAAAGCGTTTTGAATGCCTCCATTCTTCATATCTTAATTTTAAATATTTATATTTTATAAATAAAGTTAAATATTTTCGATAAAACTAATAAATCATTAACATTTCTAAGGATTTAAAATAAATTTTAAAGGCTTCCATTGAGCCCCGAACATAAAATGTTTTCTATTTTAAATGCTCAGATCTAATCAAAGAACTATTTTAAAATATTTATTTACTTTATCAAATTTGATACGTTTTAAATAAAATATCTTTTCAATATACATTTTTGAATTAGAGATAACAAAGAAATATCTTTATTAGAATCTTCCTTTAATTTGCACAATCTGGTAAGGTTATAAAGGGCCAAGGTTATTTAAATTTTCTACCAATTTAACTGATGTAACATTTAATAAATAATTATATCATGTATCTTTCATCTACTTCACGCTTCTAAACTGACAAATGACCCATTCCGGAAACGTTCATTCTATAATCATGCTATAAACACGTGTACGTATTTTCTAGAACTCGCTCTTTCTCTTAACGTGGACATGTAAATATCATAAATATTAGTGCATAAAATAATTCTAAATATTTAAAATCTGTTAGCATAAATACATTTTAAGCACTGTCTCTAAGCAAGTGGAGCTGGAGATGTTTCTCCCTGGACCAGAAATTGTTCCTACTCTCATAAATTAATGCTATTTTTACTAACAAAAAGAAAACCTTTAACACTTTTTTTTTTAATATCCCATGTATTTTTGTTTAAAAAAAAATGCAAAAGGGGCACTATTCCCTGGGTCCCATATAAGAGCTCAACAACAGCTCTAAGTATTTAACATATAATTACCTTTATTGTATCAAAAGGATGACCTACTAAAACACCGGCACAACCTGAAATAATGCAAAAATACAGAATTATTATTTTAAAAAAGGCAAAAATCAATTTATAATACGAAAGAACTTTTAAATATGATTTATATATTCTTTTAATATAAACATTATTTTTTTTTAAAAAAATCTTAAATCATTCTGACTTTTTTAATTTTAATGTAGAATTTACTTCATAACAAGATATACTGTATTTTAAAACAGATAAACATATTTGTCATTATTATAGTTATAAATTAGGTTATCTAAGCACTATACTTGTATATTCTTACAAGTAGATATATGTATACACAAGTGTATTTAAAAAAAAAAAAAAAAATTTAAATATATTATTCTTTATGATATTGAAAAATATCCTCAACATATTTAACATGAATAACATAAATTCCTATATGGACAGGATGTCCCAGAAATCAGTCAACCGAGATATAGTAATGTCAGTTAAGTCGGTTAACTGACTTTTGGACCACCTGTATTTTACACAAAGTATGTATAATACATTCAATGCGCTTTCTCATAAATAATATAACATTTAAAGATTTTCCGATTAAATCTAATAGAATAATTAAGAAAAATAACGGGGCTTACCTCCTATACATCCAGCTACAAAATCGAGAGCCATGATCCTGAAAAAGTATTATTTTTCTCCGTTATAAGTATAATAGGAGTATAAAGAAGACGATTCGTATAAGATACAACGCGTATTAATTATATTTCAGGAGGATTAAGGTTGATAATACTGATCATGGCGACGGGATCGTCTTTAACATCAAATAACGTCTGGTCGCCTAGAAACCAATAAATTGCTTTCACTACACATGCGCACTTTTATTCTAGATTAACTTAATAATAAAAAAAACAAATTATATATCTTTCGATTTTATCAAATTACGTATCAATATTTCTTGCTGGAATTTTTAAAATTTATAATTTTTGATCTAATTAAATAATAAACGAAAAATATATAAGATGTTAAATAATTATTTTAATTTTAATAAATATATTTGTCGTCTGCGTTTTATGAACAGATATCGATTATTTGCGTTAATAATTATTTTTAATTAATATTAATTAAGGAAATTAAATTTATACTATTTAAAATTTTTCTTTTTAANTCACAATTAAAATTTTTGTATAGTATTTATAAATTAAAAGAAAATAATTTATTAAAAAAAAAAGCAGTTTAGTATGTGTTTGAATTTATCACTGACACGTGTTTATCGTGGAACTTGTATAACACGTGTTTTTTAAATAAGTGTTACGGCTCTATATATGAATTTACGTGAAGAAATAAGAATGCATTCGTGATAGAAATAAATTTTAATGGGAGATGAGATTATGCTAATCCATTACACAACTTATCATTGTTCTACTCTATCATCATACATCTCTTAAATCTAAATATTGATATACAAGCAATCTCCAGAGTCTGTTCCTTTATCAATATTGGATTTGAAAGATATATGATCCCATTCTATCAAAATAAATGAATTTTTATTAAATATTATAGTCAGGGTCATAGAGGTGAGATGAGTCATGAGTCACTTGCATATGTAAGGCCCAGCTCTCTTCAAAAATATAAAATATGTTTTATTCATAAAATAATTTGAATAAAACATAAAAATAAATACAGAAGCCCAAAATTTACATTGCTACATAAGAATTTAAGTTATGGAGGCATCTTTGTATGTGAGATCTGAGTCAAATGGACTTGCTTGTTCCCTTCTAGAGAGGAACAAGCAGGTCCATTTGTTACTTACAGCTCCAGAAATGGGGAGTTTATTATATAATTTTTACAAGAATTTTTTATTAAAAATTTAATGATGATAAAATACTTTTTTTTAGATTAAAATTAAAGATTTTTATTATCTAATTTTAATCTAAAAAGTCACCAAAAGTTTCAGATTAAAGCAATAATTAATTATGTTATTGATTCTTATTACTGTATACAGGTATGATAATTAATTCTGCATCATTTATCACACAACATATTTTATCTTATTATTTTATAACTAGAATAAAAAATATATTTTTTTTTATCTACAAAATAAAATTCATAGAAGCCAAATTAATCATAAACTTTCACAAAATTATGAATAATAATTTAATTTAATTTTAATAATTATAAATACATTATCCTATTTTCTATTAATATCTTGATTTTTAGAGAAGCTTTAATGAGTTATCTGTTAATATAAGAATTTAAAAAGCTTATTTAAGAAAATGTGTTTATACCTGAATGATTTAATTAAGGATCATTGAACTTTATGCAATTGCAGATCAAGGCCCTATCCATGATCTCATAAATTAACGGGTCAATGTTTTTTTTTTAAATTTTTTCGCCCTTGACACAATATGAAACTTATTTCCTATCGCGAGACAAAGAAAAAGTGAGCTAAATTCCTTAAATACTCCGTTCTTAATTTATATATGTTATATGAAGAATGGCAGTAAAGTTTCTATGCAGGCTAATTAGAAGTGTCTGTAAGCTCTCTCCATTCTTTGCACAAATCTTATCTAGATTTTATTTTTTATTTTGATTGGGAGATATTGAAGTAACCCTTGTTGCTGTTTTTAAATCTTTGATAACTGTTATAAGGCAGAGTTGAGAAATTTCTCATTCTCAATACCCCAAATCGAATTGCCTGCCACGTGTCATTAAGTCTAAACTTCCAGGAGAATACATTTTAAATTATTCACTGAATTTTCATTGAGTTATCAATAATTTTGCCCATTATTATGCCGAACTAGAATCTATAATAATTATAGAATAAAAATTACATGGTTTTCTACAACGTATTAAGGGGCCGTCCATATATTGTGTAATCAAAAACTGGTTATTTCTTATCTTTCTCCCTCTGTCATTAATTTTAGATTGCTTGATCAGACTTCTTCCAGAAGCTCAATAAATTCCACACTTCCTGTAGCAAACTGCACATATTGAAACCTATGCTTAAATAGTTTCTGTATATCATTTTTCTATGTAATAATAGTTTATTGTATTAATTAATAGTACCTGCAGGTCCTCTTTTTAAGGCTGAGTGAATAGCTGGGCATCATATGCATCATAAGGAATTAGTTAGTCCTACTGCACCTTCACTTTGTCGTCCTTGACAAAAACTCAACATTAAGAAGTCCCAAAAAAGATGCCAATTCTTTTATTTGTGTCATTTGGCTGTTCAAAAGACTTCATCACAGTCAGTTTTGTGCAGAGAAACTTTTGCATACTTCAAATATACTGGCTCGGTAGTCACATGTCATTTCCTTCGGCAGTGAGGAAAGAACGTGGCATCGGGTGCAAATGTGATGTGCACCTTTTAATTAATGTCAAATCCAAGATTTTGCAGTTCTTTTATTAAATCATCAAAAGTACGACAGCTATGAAAATAAAGATGAGAAGTAGTGATGACACCTTATTCATGCAACTGCCCTCTCCCATCTGTCATTAACCGTCGTTAGCATTTATTCCCTTCCTGGGGTTAATTCAGTATAGCAGACTTGTCTAACTTTTAGATCATGAACGTATCGATGAACCTCGAAAAGTCACTTAAATGTCACTTTCAATCCTCATAGATTTATGAAATACAGTACTAAATGGTTTTTATTTGAATCCAGAAAACTGTTAATTAAATGGTGCTCTTTAATTTTGTCATTGAAATTTTTACGTTACCATTGCTCATTAAAACGTTACATTATGACTAATCTTAAAGACGATTTTCAGTCAATAAGAAAGGTCCTATTGGATTCTTTATACCTGACCTCCTATGTAACTACATTAACAAAATTAATATATTTACAGTATTTCTGGAATGAAAAAATGCAAGGGACTTTTGACTCATCCTGACTATACAAAATTCCGAAAGTGATTTGATAACATTAGCCTAATAACTATTAATGTTCTATATTGTTCAGTCTACTCTATATCTACTGTTAATAACTTAAACAAATAATATATCTTTCCAGGAAAATTTATAAACATAAATATCTAAATATAGCATTTGGTACTAAACATACCAAAGTGTTAGCAAGTTCTAGGATATTTACAAACATCGGTTCCTTCTGATAAAATGACGGGTATACTAGACAGATGCAATCAGTACAGAAATAAATTTTGTAGTTTTATGTCTTTCAATGACTCGTATTTTTTCAAATTACTCTGTTGCATTCTAGATGATTTAGCTTGTTTTTGTATTCCTTCATCACTGTTTTAGCTACTGCCATTTCATCAAAATTTATAATATACAACTGTCTAGAACAGTGCTTAAACTATGGTCCGCGGACAAGCACCGGTCCGCACAGTTCATAGCTTAAAACAGTGATGGGCAAACTACGGCCCGCTGGCCAGATGCGGCCCCCTGAAATGTTCTATCCGGCCCGCGCAACATTATTCCTAATCTGACGAGTAAAAAAGAATACAGGCTGTGGTGGTTGATGCACCACTTAACTTGAGTGTTCGTTGATTATATAAAATAACCGAAGCTTTATATCTCACCATGAAAGTTTATTTACAATCATGTACAAAATTTTGTTATACACTTATTGGGTAAAAGCTCGATCGGTTACAAGCATGGTTCGGTACAGAACATCCACTCGTCGTGCGTAGCGTAGCCGAAAGAGAGAAAAAGAAATATGGCGGACGGCCTGCACATGTTTTTATAGCGCCACCTGGATTTTCAGATGCAGCGCTGGGTTACAATTATATAATATTGGCCCGCCTAAAGTTTTCTTCTTTTCCTTTGGCCCGCTCTTTAAAAAGTTTGCCCATCACTGGCTTAAAACATAATAATTTTATATATTACTTTAATAAAACTGTCTTTAAAAGTGTTTTAAAAACGTATAACTTTAATTTTACATAATCTATTATTTTAACCATGAAATATTCATAAGTTAGGTAGTCATTTCGTTGTCTTTCCTTGTAAGATAAATGAAACGATATCTTTCTAAACATGTTTTATACAGTGGAATCCGAAATTATAATCACGGGTAATGTTATCGATCGGCTATTGTTATAATCAGTTGATCCCAAAACACTAGAAAATTAGTTTAAAATAATACACCTATTATAATCAAATCTCGGCTATTGTTATAATTGCGCTTGGGGACAAACGATCATAATTCTTAGATAATTCGTACTAAATGGGCCTTTTCCTCAAAACTTTTAACCGAAGCATACCTTTTATATTTTACTTACTAAGCTGTAAGGCATGATAAGAATTCTTAGAAGATACGTGTAGTATAAATTTCTACTTAAAGCATACCTTTGGGAATAAATATTACTGTAGCGATTTCTCTAGTGTTTATGAGAAATGTAGCATATATAAATGTGTAATGTTGCATTGAGTGTACAGATTGTGATCAATTGTACACATTGATACCGTAATTGTTTGTAGTAAATTGAGTTCAATAATGAGAATTTTTAATCAGCCGGTTATTATTATCAAAAGGTTGCAAGTCTCAAAGCGATAATAATTGGATTCCACTGGTAAAACAGTTACAAATTTGTGGCAACGTGTGTCTATGAATGTATGAAATGTTTGTCTTTAATTAATACAGCTGGATAAAACCAATGTATAATGTGTTTCGTTTGAAACAAACAATGTCATTGGTTTGCTTTACCCGACAAATCGCCCATAACGATAATTAAAAGATTTTTCCGTGCAAAATTTGGAATTAATAGTTTTATGCAAATTACAAATGTTTTGTGTGTTTTAATTAATAAGCCGTATTATCCGAGGTCGGCTTATTGGCAGTGGCGTAGCGTAGTGGGAGCGGCAAAATTTCAAAATAAATAATAATAATATCTTGTAAACATTTGAACCATATCATTTCATATTTTTGTCGCACCTAGGATTCGGACATTGAAATGAGCACGGAATTTTTCATTACTTATTCTGTGACAAAACTGAATTGTAGTCTTTTAAGGAGGTGGCGAAATTTTCTTCCGCTCCGGGCGGCTGAAACCCACGCTACTCCACTGTTTATTGGACATGTTTGGTTTACATTATCAATAAAATAACAAATTGTATTTTTAATGTATATAATCTACAATATGAAATCTCTTGTTCTGTAGTTATACTCTTGTTCTAAAATTACTTTTAGCCGTTAACATGTCATTACGAGGAACTTGATTCAAGCTAAATCTTTATATAATAAGTGGTTAACCTCGTATTTCATCTCTTAGCACTTGGCCACTCTATTGTGGACATAACAGCATGAAAAAAGGCCCTTTTAATTTACAAGGTGAAAATTTTCAACAAAAACACCTTGTTTTATAATCGAAACTATTTGCGCAAGGAGTTTCAACTATAGTTTTATAATACAAATCTTAATAAGATATTTCTCATCGCTGTAATAAATTTCAAGAATTCATTAAATTTCTAAATTCATGAGTTTACACATCTCGACCATTCACAACGACTTTTGTCTCTGTGAGTGATCAAGCTACCTCTACCTATGGGCTATATGGCCATCTGTAATGTTTTCCAGTTACGATTGTGGCTTCTATATCTTAGCCTACGCTAACGTAAACCCGTGGATTATACATTAAGATTATTTATAAAAGACTAGATACGCGAACACCCAAGGAAACGAAATAACAAAACAACTTGCTTATTACACTTACACTTATACACGACAATCACAAGTAAAATACAAAAAAAACGCGTATACGAAGTAGTAAAGAGAAAAGGTGAGTAAAATATTAGTGGAGTGGCTTACCTAAAAGGGTTTCCTTTAACAATATATCCTTCACTCTACAACCAGGAGCAGAAAAAAGACACACGTGGTTTCGTCATTTTATATATCTTCTGACCAATGAAAATTGCATATAAACTATCAATAACCTCTCATTCGTGTAACTCACTCGAGTTGAATTAATAAAGTCCAGTTCCACCAATGATCAGGCTATTCGACTATCACAAAGACCGGAAATAAGTAAATTAGAAAAAGGTGGCAAGTACAAAAACAACGACAGAAAAAAAAAACGAAGTCATTATTTGACATAAAACAAATTAGTAATTTCACACAATAATTATATAAGCATATGTAAAATGGCTATAAATAGCAACACGGCCCGATCCTTTGTGGCTATATGTCATATTTTTGTATATATATATTTCAAATTAAATAGTTTTAATAACTCTCTCCCCTTCTTAATCCTTCTTTCTAACTTCCTTTGTTTATTGTTCTGACTTCTGGAAACAAAGGCTCTCCCTTTCCCACCCACTAGGGGGTCGGGTGGGACAATGCACTTCGAGGAAGATAGCGAGTAGAAAACGGAGTCTTAACGGTCATTCTTGGGTAGGGTTGCCATCTCAAAAAAATAAAAGTAGCTAAAAGCAAACAAAAAATTCTCTAAAATAGCTTTAAAAAATTTTCAAAATTCGCTAAAAAAATAGCTAAACAAAAAATAAAAACCAACCTTCAATTAATCTATTTTTAACTTTATTCAAAAACTCCATTCGTTGCTAAATTCCATTACTTCTTCAATTTCTTCATTGTGTTCAAAAGATGGTCCTGCTTCAAACTGAAAATTTTGGTATGGTTTTACAGTGCCTATTTTTCGAATGACATTTGCTGGCAATTCTTAATCATAGCTGGATTTTTCAAACCATATCTAATCGTTAATATGAATATGGAGTGAAATAATATTCAATCTATTCCGCAGTTTGGTTTTAACAATATCCATCTTACTAAATAAACGCTCTACTTCTGCATTTGAGTGAGGTAATAATAGAATTTTTAAAACAAAATTGACCAAGTTTTGAAAGGGATTTTCTCTGGCAGCATCTTGGTATTGAGTTACTTTCATTTACAGGTCAGACCCACCAGTGGCCAAGCGGTCTTCGATCCCTTAACACTGGGAGTTCGGTCGGGCTGGCCCCGTGGAGTTTTCCGGGTTTTCTCCATCTCTGTAATGCCTAAATAGGGGCCAGTTTCCCTTAAAAAGACCTCCCGGAAGGCACCCCCTAGACAGATTGCCCAAGTGTTGTGTTGCCATAACTAAACAAAGAAACAATCATCTACAGGTTTAACGTGCTGGAAGTTTCTTTCCTCCATTGAATTTTGATTGAATTTGGATTTTCCTCCATTGAAAGTCAATGCGAGTTGATACTGCATCATTGGTGAAAAACATTTTTGCAAGGTTTATTATATCACTTTTAATTGGGTTGAGACAATGATCAATACTTAGTATCACGTCGTAGTTTTCAAAATTGATATACTGTATTGTCAGGTACCCTTTGCCGAAATTGTTTTATAAGACAAAAGGAAAGTAATGTAGCGATTACGAATATTTTTCTTTTCTTCATCTAACAGTGCAGAATTGTTTATTTCAGTTTCAAACTGATAACCCAAATATGGATTGAGTGCTAAATGGTTTTCAATCAGTACATCATTTGTTATTTTTGTTCTTGGAATAACAATCTTAGAACAACAAGATTCTATTAAATTTAGTAAGTCCTGTAGCAACTTCGTAGGATCATTATTCTCAGATTCAAATATTTTATTTAATCTCTGAACTTCATCAAGTACAGGTTTAAGAAATAAGAAATTTCTTTGATCATCAAACATTGAGAACAAAATTTCTGCTGTATAATATCTTTTGTTTGCTCTGGCCAAATTAAAATTTGCCTTTAAATCATTCCATTATTTCAAAACTCTATCAATAGTGGTTTGAATTGACATCCAACGAGTCTCACTACATTGTACTAATTTCAATGGCTCAGTTCCATCATTCATCAAAGAATAGAGTTCATTGTATTTGGATTGTGTAATCACAGAATGAGAAAACCAATTAAATATTTCTTTAATAAGAAATTCTATATTTCTTGGAAGGTCTTCTTTTATAGCGTGGGAAATAGCTAATTGTAATGAATGACAGATGCAACGTACTAAAATCAAAGCAGGTACTTCGGCTTTGAGTTTAACATATACGCCATTATTGATTCCTATCATTACAGAAGGGTTATCTGTTCCAATTGCAACGAGTTTATGCAAATCCAAAGCATTATTTTTCAAGAAAAATTTAATTGCTTCACAAATTGCATCAGCATTGCACTCTTTAAGTGGTACTAAATCTAAAAAAAAATTGTAGTTATACATTTTTTATTTTGAGTGTAATATGTAATTACAATACCTAAAAGCTTGGAAACTGAAATGTCATTACTTTCGTCAATTAGTAAACTATAGTTGCTATCACCTATATCAACTATTAAATTTTCTTTAATGTGTGGTGCTAAAACATTTGAAATTATGGCTTAACATTTTGTTCGTCCAAGAGTCAGATTATTACAACTTTTGCTATCTGAAAATTTTGTTGTACGGAATTTAGTTAGTTTGTCTACATGACTTATAGGACAACCTTCATTTACAAAAAGTGCCATATTTCCCTTTGTTCTATGAACATTCGAGCTTTTCATAAATGGACAATACTAAACGATGGTTTGGCTTTATATGTTTTTGAGTTTTCCTATGCTTTTCTAAATCACTTACTTTTGCTATCAAAATGCATCTACAATATTTGCCGTGACACTTTGTATTTTCTCCTTCAATTTCCTGCAACCAGTTTTTATATCTATCGTCACGTAGCCATTCTATTTGGCGGCCGGATGGCCGAGCGGTCAAGGTTGCAGCCTACCGCTCTGGGGGACCCGGGCTCGAAAAATCCCAAGGAATTTTTCGGGGGTGGTCCGTTCAGATATGTCGGGCTCCGCCCCTCACCACCCGGCAGCCCCATTGTGGGCCTGGCCGAACCCATAATGGGCATGCAAAAAAGAGGCCCTCTTAGTGCCCACAGTGCGGAAAGAGTTAAAAAAAAAAAAGACATTTTATTTGAAATTTTTGAGTCTATCTTCTTTCATTTGGCATTTTCACTGATATAAGGATAATAAATTGCAATAATAGTAAATAATATTATCACAAAATGACACTATGTTAAAACACTTGGTTACTCACGATGCGCGATAGGTAACTATAAGGATTCCCAAAGAAAACTTGATCTCTGATTAGTGTTGCCACTTATTAAAATAAAATTTGCGACTCATGCACATAATTATTGCACATTAAATAAATGAAGAAATTTATTAAATTTTAATAGTTTTATGATATTTTTTTGATTTTGTGGAAAATCTCTAAAATGTAGCTAAATTTACTAAAAAACCTCTAAGAAAAATCTCCGTCGCTAAATTTAAAAAAAAGGGCACTAACTAAAGCAAAAACTCGCCAAATTTAGCAACTTTTTCGCTAAATCGGCAACCGTGTTCTTGGGATGTACCAGCGTTGCCATTCCTAGTACATTTGTACTTTTCGGTACATTTTGCCTGGAACATGAACTAATCAAATTCATACTGATTACTTTAGTCAATATCATAGTATCAAAAGTCCTATTCAATCGAACTCTGTTAACTTATCTCCGATTTTTTTCTATCATAAAGAAATTTTTTTCGTATATAAAACTTCCAGAATGAAACAAACAATACAGAAATTGTTTAATTTTTATAATTACAAATTTTAATTTATTTTTTTCCTCTCTTCGATTTACTTTCGCAGTACTTTGGTTATTAGGGCACCCTGAGGTCCCGCCGCTGCAGTAGCCATTGTTTGAAAAATGTTTACGGGTAAAAGATAAGCTTTGCCTTTTCCTTGTATAGATCCTCTTGCAACTGCCGAATTTATGGACGTTCGAAGAAACTGAACAAGACACATCATTATCCACTGTAAAAATGATAAAAGAAATATGTAAAATTTCTTTTGGGTCAATTGAAATTTGAAAACGTTTCTCTTACCAAAAAGAGGAATGGGAACAATGCAGAAAGGGTGAAAGATCCAATAGTATTTCTGAGTTTGACTGTAAGTTTTCTTGCACATCCATCTTTATAGAACGAATGATTCGTTGGATCGTATTTATAATTGGGTCGAGGTTTCACAACGTGTTTATGATAGCAAGGAGAATGTACTGTTGGATCGCAGCAGCTAAATGGAACTCCCCGAGTGTTGAGCTCTGGGTCCATAAATATTTTATTTTTCTCTGATATGGATTCTGCTTTAGAATATAACCTGAAAACACGATTTTTATATTTAAGTGTTATTCGTGTCATCTGCTGGAGATCGCATGAATAATAGACGTTACAATAAACCTTAAACACAATGAATTTCCTTTAAATTACACTATAAAGATTCATTATGTTTTAAGATTTGTGATTAAAAACATGCGTAGGGATTGTAACAGTGGTACCACGACACCGCTTTTAAACCATACTCATTATGGGTTCGGCCAGGCCCACAATGAGAACGGAGCCTCCAAAAATATTTTAAGAATTTAACCAAAGGATTTGATTCTCGTAAAAAACAAAAATGCAAAATTAAATTCAAATCGATAGCGATTTATATTTAAAAAAATAAAATTAAAACTCACTCCACAAATTCGTCATCTTTTCGTTTCCTTTCAGAAGAAACAAGTTGCGGAGGATACCAGAACAGTAGTAACCAATCTTGATGGTCTGAAACTCCGCAGCATTTATAATGAAATTGTAGGCGATCTATTTGTATTTTATTCGATAATTTAGTACAGTAATTATCAAGAGCTTGAGTCATTCCCTTCTTCACTTGATATATGATCTCTCCATTATGTTGATCGAGGATGATCATGTAAGCCATATTCAACCAAATGAAGACGAAGAGTACGAAAATCAACGGAAGATAACATCTTCTGGATTTGGATACGTGATTTTTCTTAGAACAGCGGAAATTTACAAGGATGGAAAATAAATAGACCATCATTTGTACGCCGTTGAATATCAAGATGATAAAGCCTAAATTGCTAGTGTCGTATTCTTTGCTGACGAGATGAGCGATCTTCTGGATTGCTGTTAAAACGTATATACCGAATCCAAAATGGATAAGGCAATGGAGGAATAAGGCGGTGTTAGAAAGTACGAGGGTTAACGCCAAACAACGTCTACTGGATTCGCTAAGTTCAATCGTGCAACAAGGCATTTTGAAACAAAACTAATTTTTTAATTATTGCGCATAAACTATTATTAATTTATATTTTTAAATTGTTTTATTAAAATTAATAATCACGCATTTTCGTTTTTTGTTAATCTCTGATGATGACAATCGGCTAATATTTATTTCCTTTCGAAGTTTATTCGTCAGGGGGCGCTATTACTCGCTACGTGCTCTGTCGTCTATAATTGAATATGGTGAGTTATTTTTGCATCTCTAAATGTAAATAATTGCTTGTTATCTATGTAAATTTAATAAGAATACATTTATTTTTCCTTGAATCTTTTCGAAGTATAATTTAGCTTGAATGGATCTATTTGTTTATAGCAAAAAGCTTTTGTGTAATTTAAAATGACTGATAGACACGTGACTACATCCAAGATTGCAGCCATGTGTTTAGTTCACGTTTCACGTCCCAAATATTTGTTAAGCTTCGTAAGAGCATGTATGAAGAATATTTCAACAATTATTACCTGATATATAAGCAAATCACAAACTTAATTATCACACTTAAATACTAGTTTATATAATTCTTAAATTAAATCACAACCATTCTATTGTATTCCACTTCTTTTAGAAAATCACTATTTACACATCATTTTATCAATAACTTGACATATAATCTGTAGCTCCTAATAGAAGTCACAACTATAGTAGTTCAGGTAACACTACAGATTTGGTTTTAGCAATTATTAGTGTATGATTGTAGGTGTGTGTGAAGAACATTCAGAGCATAGTGTCAGCCATATGTCTCTCCTCATGACAAAAACTGAGATCTGGATTCATATAAATCAATATTGTAAGCTGTCTTAAGTGATGATAAACAGAAATGCGTTTACTTTAGAGTTAATAACTAGTAAACACATAAAAGATGATATTCAAATATTAATTTATTGATAAATTTGATTAAAAAAAAAATCTACTTAGACAACAAAACTATATATAATTGGTGATGTTTTGAACATTCTTGTGCCAGGAGGATTAAGTTTTGTGGAAGAAAGATGAGCAAGTGTGAACTTCAAAGATGTTTATTATCATAGGAAAAAATATATGAACTTTTTAGAACTACAAGTTTATCTTTGGAAAAGATATTTTGATATTCTGTACTTGCTCGCCATTCAAAGTTTTTGGGTTGCGTAGTGAGTTATGTTAGATATTTAAGCTTAACTCTCAAAATGTCCAAATTTTCATTATTCTTCATAATTGTGCCTTTTGATTGTCTTACATACTGGGGGTTGTCATAATAGGAGTCAGATCCCCCTAATAAAACAGCTATTTTAATATAAAATACTATCACTGTTCATTAATAAATGTCTCATCACTTTAAACTTTGATTATTCATTCAAACTCTAGCTTTACAATTGCTATTTGAGGTGAAGTTGTGAGTTTTGCTTATAATCCATATATATACCACACTATATAATAGTAATTAAAAGCTTTTAATGAAAAGGGTTCCTTTCATCAAGAGATAATTTAGAACACATTTGGCTAGAATCAGATAAAAGTTAAGTTTGGAAACTACGAAGTACAGCTTTAGGATGTAAGCACTCAAAGATTTTCAGTTTGACAGGACTGTATACGATTCTATTCTCAAAGCATGAATTTTTATGAAACACTTTTGACAAAAATCTATGAATAAAAGATTACATAAGTAAATAAGTTCCATATTTGCCCATAAAGTACATTAGTTTTATGCATTGAAGTTTGTGATGGAAAATAAATTATATATTTTGTGTTATTTCTATTCATTTTCCACAGTTTGTAGTGTGTGTTTAGAGAGGTTTATTCAGGTATGGGATCCAAATATATCAAGTTCTATAGAATGGGTGTTTACCTATCCACATTTAGCTTTATGCATTCATATTCCAAATTCTTATTTTGTTTATTCTTTACAAAGAATGAGGAGCATTATTATTTTTCCAAAACAACGGATTGGAGAATGGAATTCTTTCTAATGCTCTTCTATCTAGGGGAAAAATGTTAATCTGTTCAAACTATTTTTGCATGAAATGATACACACATTTTATTCAAAGCAATTATTCCTACAACCATACGTTACATATTTTAATTTGTAGTTTTGTTTTATATGTTTCAATCTATAATTTTTTTTTTTTTTATATAATCTGAGGAAGATCAGTTAATCTAACAAGAAACATTCATTAAAAATTAGTTTGCGAGAACTTGAAGATGTGATAGCATATAACAAGCCAACCGTGCAAAACTTGTGTACGACAACATAACTTATTTCTAATATCAGTTTAGTATTGCTTAGTCTCTATCCATCATTTATATGATAACAAATGTCCTTATTGTTGAAAATAAATGACGGAAACTCGACTTTTGATATGCTACAAAATGCTGCTAAATGGTCAGTAGTTTATTTAATTACAAATGAAAATTACTATTGGTGTGTAGTTGTGTGTGTGAATTTGTTCATAAAATACCATTACAAAAATTCTACTACTTAAACTAGCATAATCACTATGCTGCAAAACTCATCACCTTCTTGGTCCAAGTTAAGTATGGTAGAGTCCCACAAAATCTTCATTGGTTATAGATCGTCGGCATACAGCCTTTTTTTTGCAAGTGGTTCATGTGCATTTTTACTTACACAGTCTTGACTTTTGAGCTTTCCAAGCATAAACATACTCTAATTGCCAGTACACTAGGTACTAACAATATATACTTTGTTCTCATCCTTTGAATTTCTTTGTCACAAATATTGGTTTAAATCTGGTATGGGGCAGAAAACGAGAAACTAAAGTAAAGTTGCCAAAGCCCTGGAGGCCATGGGATGCTCACGACCATTGAGATAAAGTATTGCCAAGAAATTTCATTGGTATGGCACGTCTTGGTATTATGTGGAAATCAAATGATTTTGTAAAATTAACATTACAGTAGAGCCTTGAAAACTATGCACTCCAGATAACTCGGCCACACCCTGGCAGGGCAAAAAAATCCTTAGACAGCTTTATGCCTCAAAGTATTTTTCTGAGGTCTGTCTTATCAGGTAAATTACTGTACAGTGTATTCATTCATTTTCATGTAGTAAAGGCTCTATGCCTTCATAAAAGACGTACTGTTCCTTTGTTTAAGGGTATTTGGGCAGTTTATTCTCTGTTGTATTCTCAAGTAAACAATACATACAAGTACAGCACAGTATTTTCTGAGGAAACACTCATACTTATTTTTTTTTAACCCCATTCCCAATAACCTGGCATTTTCACAAACTCTGCCACTCTTCGGTCCACATTAGGCTGAGTTTTCGAGGCTCTACTGTACTTTCTATTTCTCTATTATTCTCTCAGATTTGGAATAAGTCTATCGTATGCAAGGATACTGTGTGTTTTTTTTTTTGTGTATAATATTGTGAAATAAAAATGACAAAGAAATCTGTTGCTAAAATACAGTTGAATCTCTAATAATGGCAGTCTAAACAACAGTAATTTTTTTGGCAACATTTCTTTTGAAATGCATAGAGAATTTTAAAGAATTATGTCTATTGTTTGGAGGTTACATTTAGATGTTTGACATATGATTGCAAGTGTTCATTATAACTTCAATTAACTTAAATTTCCAAATCTTAAAAAATAATTGCTTATGAATGTGCACTCTGCACATTACAGTAACAATGCAGTGGAATTTTTGCTCTATGAATTGCATTGTCTTTTCAATGTTTGTATCAATAAGCAAACAGAACCAATTATAAAAATGAGAATCGTTCGTTTCGGTTACTTACCTTTAAAGGGCTCGGTATCCTCTTGATAATTTTAAAAAGCTGACATATTACAAAGTAAAACTGTATTGATAAAATGCATAAATGTACATTATTAACAGGGTTGGGCATTTAGTTGCTTCCAGGACACCAAAAAGTCAATAGAACCATAGGTATTGTCTGCTTTATGGGAAGAAGTGCAATCTTGTCTCATGCGTTAATTATAATTATTTTAAAAGTAGCATTTGATAATTTATATAAATTTCCATTTCTTTCAGCCCAAAGTGAAGAGAATCAGGCCTGTCCCGGTGAAAAAACTAATTAATCCTGCAGACAGCAGAATGTAAGTACCCCTTGTTCCCAGAACCACCTTGCATTGCTTATATTCCAAATTGTTCCTATAGTAATTAGTATCAGTCCCTATCAATGCTTGCGGCTTCCTTGTCAAACACCTTTATTTCACAAATAGTGATAGACATATTTCAGGAACATTTAGAAACCAAACTATAGATGGGATAAACAATCCCAAATCCATCTACAGCTATTTGAAACAAAGGTATTTGACAATTTTGGAAGCATCCTCCCTCAATTTTAATAAATTTTCTACCCCTTTTCATTCAAACTAGTAACGAGAAAGATAGATTACCTCCGCGTAAGAAGAAAAAACAAGATCCTCAAAAACTTGTGGTAAAAGAAGCGTGAGTATTCTTTGGACTCTGTTTAAAAACTATGAATTTGTTCCTAATTCAGATTTTTATTTCAGTCCACAGTATTCATCGGCGCTCTACTTCAAATATAATACTCAGCTTGGCCCGCCGTTTCGCATTTTGATAGACACAAATTTTGTTAACTTCTCCATCAAAAATAAATTAGATGTCATCCAGTCTATGATGGATTGTCTGTATGCCAAATGTGAGTTAATGTACTAATGGGCCTTCTGTGCCTATAAATTTTTACTCACAGAAAATGTCTATATTTCAGGTATACCTTACGTCACAGATTGTGTTATTGGAGAGCTGGAAAAATTAGGAAGCAAATACAGAGTGGCATTAAGGTGATATTCTATTTCTGTATTTATTTTTGCCTTTTTGTTTGTTAACGGGTTGTATTTAAATAATAGAATCGTCAAAGACCCGCGGTTCGAAAGGCTTCCATGCCTCCACAAGGGAACATATGCAGACGACTGCATTGTGCAGAGAGTCACTCAGGTACGTTGAGATGATATTTACGGCAAGGGGTGGAAGATCAGAAATTTCATAAATATATTTCCCCAAACAGCACAAGTGTTATATTGTAGCGACATGCGATAAAGATCTGAAAAGGAGAATAAGGAAAATCCCAGGTGTTCCAATAATGTACATTTATCAACACAGGTACGTGGAAATTCACATTGCAAATATTTTAAAAATCTGCACGCATTAATTCTCTTTCTTTGCAGGTACTCCATAGAAAGAATGCCCGATGCATACGGAGCACCTAAACTGTAAACTGCTGTACACAATTAACAAAATAAATATATTTAATTTTCACTTTACTGTTCAATGGTAAATGCTTTGCGGTATGAGGAAAAAAATTAAAGATTTTGGCCGTGTTTGAATGAAATCCACCGTGAAACCAACTGCTGTATGATCTTTATTACAAAAGGAAGCACTTCGATCCAGTTTTCACAGCTTCAAATGGATCCGTAAATTATTTACACAACTGATTCTATAAATAATGTTTCAGTTGTGAAAATACTTTGACACGTGCAAGATGATGCAAAACAATCTAATATATATTTTTTTTTTGGTTTTTTCCTTGTTTCACAAATATTCGAAGCCACAACCTAATACATTACATACATAGCTAGAATGCTAGCCTAAATTTTGAAGACTGACAAAAAAAAAATTAAAAATAAAACCATTAAAAACGACAGTAAAGTTCGATCTAATATTGATTAATTTCTTGTATATTATATAATTCATGTAACAACGTTGACACGCTGCATGTTAAAAATGAGTTGCCTGCGGGGCGGCAAACCAAACTACAATAAATACCGCCGTCTTGAGTGTGGGAGTTTTAACGAGGATCGGCAAGACTTGTCAGAAATGATCCGGTTTACTCGCTGACGAATGCATGGAACATAACTGTACACTGTACAACAAAGCTCGTTTCTGTCTGCGGAAAACAAGGAACAAAAAGTTGGCGTCGAGTTTTCTCTGTTGCAAAATCATTTATACAATGTGCATTTGCTTGTACTGTTGGAAAATGAAGCTGCGTAACGTAGCAAGCGGCATAAATTTAACAATTATAGTAAAGTGCAAGTGATTTTACAGATATGATATATATATATATATATATATGTATATATAATATATACAAGTTTTTCTTTCATCGTACAATAAAATATAAAGAGAACTACAATGAGAATTTTCTTTCGGAGCTTGCAATTGAATGAGAACTCAAAATAATAAAATAATAAAAAGATGACATTGCTTAATGGATCACAGGATTCACAATGAAATACTGATATTATATATTCATATATAGTTTTTTTTTTAATTACGAAATTTTAATACCTGATTATTGGGGATTTCTGGAGATTTTATTCTTACAGCCGACATCTCCAGAACTTATTCGAAGTCACAAAAACTAACGGCTCAAGAACATAACAAAGGTGCAGAAAACGATCTCTCTCTCTCTCTCTCCTTTCTCTCTCACATCCTAGTGTTGTTTTCTTCCTCCATCGGCTTGGGAAATACAGTTCATCCATAATAACGAGCGTCGATTGTCGTGATTAAAAACAACCAACAGGGAAGAATGGATATCTTTTTTTCAAATACACAAAAAATGACTACACAATCTGATACCGGTTTTAAAATATGGGATAAAATAATCTTCCCTGATGTTGTAAAACGCAACATATTTTTTTTTATCCTTGCATACTTGTCCCTGTACAGTTGATATTAATTACTACTTTTCATCAAACAAAGACTTTCGCTAGTGCATCTGCTCCAGCACTGGCAATGAATGGTTTACATGGGTGGAATGATACGTCAAAGATGGATTCGTCAAACTTTTTTCTGTGAGACGTTATCTCCTGTACACATGTTTTATTGTCCATATTCCAGAGACGAATGGAACAGTCATGGCCTGCAATACAAAATTTTATTCATGTCTCAAATAACTATTTATTTCAAATATTTTTTATTTTAAAAAATTATTATTAATTCTAACTCTTAATTTCAAACTTTCAATTAAATACTTATAAATTTTTATAATCACCATAATTAATTAACTTAAGATCATGGCAAATGAGATTTTTCTAACAGATCTCTGGTAGGCTACATATTTTCTAGGAATGTCTTTTAACAAACAACTAAGAAAGACTAAGTTAATAAATACATACACTGACATACTATATATAAAACTTTATAAATTTTACCAATATTTTTCAATTATATTTCCAAAATATTTTTTTTTTTCTGAAAGTAACAAAAGTGCAGCATGTGTGAGGGAGTGACAGCCATTTTTCAATCAGCATAACCAATTTTCAATAAGTCACTAGTACAGTCGATCCCCCCTATAACATGGTAGATACGTTCCGTTCTTTATGAAATTGATGTTCTACGAGTCCTTAAATACATGAGCCAATCACAGCCTGGCACATATGCAGTTTATGGACTACAGCTGTTTAATTTTATGGAAGAAAACCTTTCAATCGATTCTAGACTAATTTGACTAACATTTCCAAAACACGTATAATTTTTTGGGAATAATCCATATAAACTATGCTATAAACAAAAACTTGTAGGATTACTTACCAAACATGCACCGTTCGACAACGCCATTGCTTAAGCTTGTTTTCGTCGTGGATCGGTGCATCGAATGGAGCTCGCGTACTTTCTAATAAATTATTTTTCTGCGAAAGCTTTGCTGAACTTTGGCGACATCATTAATATAAATATAATTTTTATGGCCGTTAAATAATAAATGGTTTTTAGTAGGTCTGCTGCTCGTTTAAACTCAACGGTTTGTGCAATATCTGCTATTGGTCTAGATTCGAGCAATCCTGTCGCAACACGAGTCAGCGATGAAGTTTTACTGAATTATACAAGTCTCTTTTAGCGTGTTTATACGAATACGGTCGCATTTTTTTTGCTGTCATATAGGAATCCGAAGTATATGAACCCGTTTTATAGGGAGGGTCTACTGTATATGAACAGTGTTACGACAACTTTCTCCAATCTTCGCAATTTTTTTTAATATTTTACATGAAATTACCCTTAATACCTTTCCCTCGCACAATCAATTCAATGTAATCCTCACTAAAACATGATTAGTATATTTTGAACAGAAAAATCCATTAGGATCAAATAAAGATATGATTTGAGATCTACAAACTCCAAATTACAAACTAATATTTTTCTTGCTAATGCAGGAAAATAACAAGATGTTACATTAAAAAAGTTTTCATTACAGTATCAAAATATAATACTTACTTCCGGACAATAGGTATAATCCATTAGGGTCAATGGCCAAACTGGTTACTGCATCAAGATGTGCAACCATCGAATGTATTACTTTGCCTAAAATGTTTTATTTGCTGTTAGTACGGTTTATAAGTTATAAAAATACAATTAAATTCATAAATGCAAAATGTAAACCTGTATTATTATCAAAAAAGCAAATGTGTCTATCTTCATGAGCTGTTATTGTTATGGGAAGTGTAGGATGAGTGATGACTTTGTTAATCTGTCTGTTAATAGCATTACCATCTGAACATAAAAAGAAAATAAAATGAAAGGACATTTTCAAGGGTCTAAATCTTTGCATAAATTACCTTCTTACCAGCATTCAAATTGCTTTCTAAATGCATTATTGGCTTTCCGGTCTCTATATCAAAAATAATAGTATTTGATGAAGTGTATGCTGCCACCATCTGTGTGGGTTCGCAACGTACAAAATCCACAGATGTTGGCATTCCATCATCTGAATTTATTAAATATTTATATTAAAAAAACAAAATATTCACAAACAAAAATACATATCTGAACATTATCTGACCTGTTTTGGAGACATAAGTGTTTAGTAAAGGAACTTTGCTTTGGGGAGACCAGAGTCTTATGGTGCTATCCGAAGAACATGAGATTAACTGTACTTTCGAAGTATGAATTGATAAACCATACACACTATCTGTATGCCCACATAGTGTAGCAGCGAGAACACCCGGATCTGGAAAACAAACTGTTAATTTACTACTAAAAACTATTGTGTATGTATAATAACAAAAGATTTACTAATTTACCATATGAATCATAAGGATCTATATTTGAATTTGGAATGTTCCAACATCTAATAGTCCCATCTAGACCACCACTATAGCATTGTTCACCAGTGCTACCCATAACAAGACAGAGTACAGGACCACTAAACAAATTGTATAAAAACTATAGTAATGACAACCTGAATTTATTTAATAGAACAGTTAATTTAATTTACTTACACATGCCCACGAAATGTATAAACTGGTTCTACATCTAATGACGATGTTCTGCAAATTCAGAGAAAAACACAAGAGTTTTATATAAATAATCAAGAGATATAATTAATAATAATAAAAAAGAAAGCTAACTTCTTTGCCGGCAAGGTCTTTTGTAAATTCCACAACTTTAATGTGTGATCTTCCGAAGCAGAGATAAGAACTGGTTCCACAGGATGAAATGCTAGTGCTCGTACACAATCAAAATGACTAGGGAAAAAATGATTTCAATATTATATCACTAACTAATAAAAATAAAAATTGACAAGTCTCTATCATAATCTACTTAACAACAAAAGTATCTCACCTTCTAAGGGTATATTTAGCATTCCAAGTTTTCCTAAAAGCCTCTTTGGTTGCAGATACCTGAATAATAAAATATAGAAAAAGTTTCCTATATTATTCTATTACCACCAATTATTTAAAAAAATATGACGTGGCACTTACATCGTAAGTGGATTCTGCCTCATTGTTTATTGTTAACTCAGCAAGATCACCGAGACCAAGAGTAGGTTCCATACCATCATTGTCTGTTCTGAGATTTCCCAAAATCTGCTGTTGTGACACAGGTTGGAAGGGGAATGATCTTCCTTGGATGTCTACAAGTATATGTATAAATATTTATAAAAAAAAATTTACATAAATGACATTAAAGAATATTGATAATATGTTTATAATTACTCCATTCTGTTGTATCGTCCTGGCTCCTTGCTTCTCCAGCTCCGTCAGTGTTGTTTGCCCCCAAATAATCAAACTGCGACACCACTTCATCCCCATCAGGTTCATCCATCATATTATTAACTCCTTTTTTATTATAATTTGAAACCGTGTCATATATTAAACCACTACCTGAATCACCCTTTGAAAAAGCAACACATGTATTGAACATCAAATAATTAAGTTAATCTAAGAGAGGAGAGAATTAAGTTAATCATAAATAAACAACATAAACTTACTTTTAAGTTCATTTTCATTCTTTTTTCCTGTGATCTTTCCATTCTTTCAACACCTAATCCCCCAAACTCCAGCTCATCGCTTCAAAAATAAAATTTCAAGTTTTAATAATTGATATTTAAAATATTACTTTGGAAAACATTTAAATTTGTAACAGTGTGTCGAAAAAAAAAACTTTTATGTAAATTAAAAATATAAAAACATGAACATAATTATTTAACTACAGTCTTAAAAAATAAATTCATAGATTAATATTAACCTGAGATTTTCATCCTCGTCATCAACATCAACGTTCTCCGATGCCAAGAAATCAAAAGTTGCTAAAACTGAAGCTTCAGCATCCATTAATGTATTTTCAGCTATTGAATTGATTTTCTTTCCAGGGATCCTAAAGAACATTCATTATTTTAAAATTATAATAATAATAAACAACAAGATTTCATTAAAACTAATTACTAGTACTGTTATAAAGTACATAAAATAAAACAAGAACTTTTATAGTTACATCTAGTAACTATATAACTATGCAAAGAATGTAACTAGTATAGTTACATTCTTTGCATTTTTATTTTCATTATCCCATTTTAGATCTAGTATTGTTAAATGTCATCACTGCTTCCCAGTTTACTCAGAGCTGGCCCTACCATAGGGCAAACGGAGCAGCCACTCCAGGTGCTAAGTTTTAGGGGGTGCCTCAGTATTAAAGAAAATTAAAGAGTATAAATTAGGGGCAACCAAGGGGGGGCGCTATAATAGGATCTCACTCCATCGTAAAACTTGCCTCAGGCCGGCACTGAGTTTACTCAATATAATATTGGTATGGTATTGGAATTGCATTCCTTAATAACACCAAAAATAATGGTTTTAACAATCATCATCATTAATGTTTAAGCAACAGTACGTTTAAAAGATAACTTAAAAGCTGACAAGGTATGCTAGACAACTGTCAGTCATTCTGAATTACAGTGGAACCTCACTTAATGAGCACCTCGCATAATGAGTAATTCACTTAATGAGCAAAACAAATTGTAAAAAAATTATTCGCTTAACATATGACGTTTTGCATAATGAGTGAAGAGGAGAGGGGAAGTCCCAGATTGTGCGCATGCTCCAACAGTCTGTGTTTAGACCTTGTTCTGCTAGCATCTTAGTGTCGCTTGTGATTACACATTTTTCCAAACTTGTGTTCAGACATATTATGTATAAACATCAGCCACCATAGCCCGTTATATAATAAACACGTCAAACAATATGCCAAATTCTTGGGCTATGTAAAGGCTATAATTAAGTATCAGAAATTACTGTATTTTGATTTTTTTCTTTTGTTTTCTGCAAATTGAATTCGCAATTTCAGGTTGGTTCATTCCATGCTAGAAGAAATGATGATGATGATTTACGCTCCTTAACAATGCACATTGTACAATTTTCTTAGAATAAATATAAAACATAAAATCTATGAATTTTTTTTTTGTTTTCTGCAAATCGAATTCTCATTCCAGGTTAGTTCATTCCATGCTAGAAGAAATGATGATGATTCACGCTCCTTAATTTAACAATGTATAACATATAATTTTCTTTAAATAAACATTATACATAAAATATTTCAGTATTTTTTTCAGCATGGAATGCATTATAGTATTTTGCATTAATTTACATGGAAAAAATTGTTTCGATTAACAAGTGTTTCGCATTACGAGTAAGATTCTGGAACAAATTATGCTCATTAAGTGAGGTTCCACTGTACTGGATTGTAAATTATTGAACTATTAATTGAGGGTTTCTCTCTTCTGTTGGCTAATCTTAACATGATCAGGAAAAATCTAGCATTATTAAACTTTGTTTTGTAAATAATTGTAATTTATGAGTAGAAATTCTGGTATTATCAAATAACTAGTTTAATAACTACTTTTTAAGTATATTGAAATTAGTACAGTCAAATCTCCAGTAATAACCATATCCCAACACAAGAGTCATTTTTATAGGAACTTTTTGTAAAAAAAAGTTCCTATAAAAATGACTCTTGTGTTGGGATATGGTTATTACTGGAGATTTGACTGGAGATATACTTATTTTGTATACATTTTTGGCCAAAATTCACTTTACAATGGCCACTTTTACGTTTCTCTGTCCATGGCAACTGTTCAGATATCTGTTAAATGATGCCAGATGTATATTAATTAAAATTAATGTCTGTCTGTCATACATGAAACTATTGATTATATTAAAGTAACCTGTAACTTGAAGTATTACATTAAAAAAAAATCTGTTATGTTCATAAACAACAGTACAAGGTTAATTCATGCAATGAAAACTGAAAATGTGCATAACAGAGATTACATAGCATTTACAATTAATTTTATATGTATACTGGCCAAAAGTAATAGTACAGTTATTAATTAATAATCAAAGTAGTAGTAACTATTTTGGATTGTTTAGATTTTAAAGTTTTCAAATAGTGAAGGTTAGAACTGCAAAATGTCTGTGAAGATGTGCCGAATTGATGTGAACAGACAGCATTTTAAATAATTGTTGTAATTAGACTTGTATGTATTCTAATATGTTTAGAATGTATGTTTCTAAATATTATGTTCTATTAATAAATTTTCTCTGCTAAAATGTAAAATCATCAACTGGCCGTTTTATATACAGGATATACCAAAATAAATGCTACCATTTTATATTTACTGTAATTATGTTAATTATTATCTGAGAAGTATGAGAGACACACCAATCAATAGAAGAAATGTTCCAATTTCATCTCACACCAGCATTCAAATGTTTTATCATCCACTACCTCTAGGAAGCACTGTAAACAAAAATGGTGACTCTGCAACAGAGAAGACATTTTTCATTTTGCAGTTTGTAGTCAAAATCATTCACCATCATGTAACACAAATAATTTGCAGGAGCTGTAAAAGTGAAAGGAGTAACAACAGATATGCTATAGCAAGCATAGGAAGAATTTGAATATTGGTCAGATATATTTGTTGTGTATTATGAAGTGGACACACTGAGATATTGTAATGATCAAATGTAAAATTTGGACAGTTTTCTAATGTTTTAATGTACATTAAAATGTTCACAAATAATATTTTAGATAATTACAATAATTTAATATGTTAGCGTTTATTTTGGAAGACCCTGTATATAGAAATAATGTAAAGTAAAATATTTTATATATTTTGTTTTCTATTGTATTCCAGATCATATTGAATTTTTTTTCTAAACTATTACACAATTCTCCAGAAATTTATTTCTTGCAAAAGTTCTTTATAAAGCTCTTCCACGTACGAGAACGGATATTAAAAACATTTGACCTTCCATTACCTTCTGTTGTGAACATCATTTGCCCGTTTAGTTGTCTGATCTCCATTCATGACAACATTTAGCTGCTTATCTTGATCACCTATATTATTATTCAAACCGAGAAGAGAACGAACTCTTGCAGACCTAATATCTATAATAGTGTCTGTATATCCTATTTCTTGTAGGTATCTGGAAAAAAACAATAAATTTAAATTACCATTTTATTAATCTTTCGTTAAATTTAATTTAAAACTTAAAATTCTAGCTTACTGTCTGAGAAGCTGCCTCCCTTGTTTCCAAGTAACATTACTATTTGAAGGAAATATATCTCCATCGACTGGCTCTTCTAAAAAATATTAAACAACATATTTAATACAAAAATTAACATTACAAGCTGTGGATGCCGATGTTAATTTATAACCATTCCAATCAAACTGTAAATTTACCTTTGTCGGTCTCATCAAAGATCTGGAGACGAGCATCTGCCTGATTAGGATCGGCTCCGTATTTTAATTTATATGTTTTAGTCCTTTCGAAATTAAATAAAACGCCGATTTATTAAAATTTACATTAGAAATAACAAACAGTATTAATGCAATTTATTAAATGTTTTAATTGTCTAACAGCATGCAATGAATGTCATTTTTAAAAGCACAAAGCAAACAGTCTTTTAGTAAAAAAATCTTGCAGTAAAAGTATGCACTCACCTTTCCTGTTTTAAAGCATATTCTAACATTTTAATTCTACGAATGAGATCATTTTTCAAATTCTCTTGTCCTTTTCTCTCTCCTTGTAAAAATGCTATCCGAGCCTGTGAAAAAAGAAAAAAAGCATTTTGACATACACAATTGTATAGAAAGCAGAAATTATGCCACTGCTAAAGGACTACATCTCAGTAAAAAATGATTTGAAGTGATCCATTTGAAGTGCAATTTAAATTACAGGAGGAAAGAAAAATGAATTTATTTGAAATGAATCACATAGTAATGACAAAATCATTTTATTGCAGCTAAATTCATTAATGTTGTCTTTTTATAAAAATAAGAAAAACATCCTCTATAAAAGCATTCTGAGTCAACTGAGAAGAGGAGAAACTTTAAAATTAACAAAAAAAAACTCAAAATTTTCCTCTTAAAAACCTCAAAACTTGCTGAAAGTATGTAAAGTTTAAACCTAAAATTTCATTAATTATTAATTAATTTGGTATTTATTGTCTTAATATCACGTAATTATGTCTTAAATAAAATTTTACTCTCTTCATTTTTTGACATTTCTTAAGTAGACTTAACACATTCATACATTTTACTCCTATAACAGCACTATTTTTTCGAAAAATAAAGCTGTTTTAATAATTTAATTGCATAGAAATGAGTATAAAAATATTGTTAAGCATGCAAAATGAATAAGAAAAACTTACAACCATCAAATAACTGATCAGCAAAACTTAAAATAAGTAAAATGAGAGATTTAAAAGGCAATAATTCTGTAAAAAAAATAACTCTCATCTATTAAGCCTGTCATCACCAGAGAGTACATATATAAACAAAGAATAATTGGGGCAACTTTCACGCTAGAGACGCTAACTGGGGCTTGATATTTGGAACTCTTATGGATCATTTTATTTAATGTCGGTTATAGAAATTTTGGTTTATGCCTGTTAAACGCTGATAAAAATATAACCAATATTTAATAAATCATATCTGTTAGATGCTTTATCAAAAAGTTACTTTAGTCTATGAATGGTTTCTTATAATTTTTGGAGGTCATTTAAGACCTTCAGCTATACTCAATGTGTTATTTATCATAATTTGTATCACACACACAATCTCTAAACAGAAATATTAAAAGAATTGCTAATTCTTCTTGTAAATAAAATAAATTTAAACATTAAATACTGTTCTTTATTTCACAAATTATTTATTAAAATCACCATATCATCTCTTACACACCCATTAAAAGCACACGCTTAAGAAGATAAATGTACACAAAGGTTTACGACATTTATAAATCAATTACACACAATGTCACTCAACAATCTTATAGCTTTGCCAAGTTTAAAAACAAAAAATTCGGACAATAACTCCGATGGATGTACGCAAAAGCAAACTGAATGTAATCGCAAAAGAAAATAAAATTAGAACTGCCTAGAGATAAAACCATTATTATAGACTAAATTATCCTTGAAATGAACCTTATTAATAACATCACTGCACTAAATTCTATTTATTTAAGATATAAAAGAATGATTATATATCCTGTTTGTGCATTAATAAATAGTTTTTAAGATATAAATTAAAAAAAAAATAATTTTTGCAGCTTATTCATTAATATTCTTAATATAGTAATTAATATAAGTTAACAATAATAAATTTAAATAGCTGACTACGAAAACATGAATTAAAATACAGTTAAAATTTTATACGAATATATAAAAATACAGTATATATATTTTAGTTGAAAATATATCAAAAATTTTTCAAGGATAAACCATCAATAAATCTTTATACATCATAATCACACAATAAATTACAAATGTTCAAAGATGTTTGCAGTCTGTTATGCTCTGTTTGATAATTTAATAATGCTTTTCACCTGTGTTATTCCTAACCAAATATTTTAAAGATATTCCTAAAAGGTCACGGTATCGACATCTAAAGGAAATTTATTACACTACTATTATTCGAGGTTTTTTTTGCTCACAAGCATTACTCCAAACAATTTTTTTTTAATCGAAAACCAGTAAATTTTAATTTTATTTACTTATTTTTTTTAAACTGCAAGATATAAAGGTTCTCTCTGTAGTTGTAAAAATAAAATGGATTAAATAATATTAATGCCAAGTCGATAAATTTAATTTGTCTTTTAGCGAATCTGTTTTACATTTTATATGATTTACTCGGCATTGTCCTTGACAGAAGCTCTCTGCGGGGAGTAAAAATGATTGGAACGTGTTACTTCCGCTTCCGAACATACCAGTTTAACACGCAATATTACTCTACAAGCCGGAAACGCCTTCAAATAGCAAAATGTACACAAATTTACAGAAAAATACTTATTTAACTACTTAAAGCTATGAAATTTCTTTATAATCAGCTCTTCTTTTGATTTAAACTATTAACAATGTTTTTAGAATTAAAACAAGTATGGGATCACAGTTCAGAGTAAAATCTATCAATACACTACATACAAATATTTGTTTGTTTAATAATATTTTATATTTTAAACAAGATTTTTCTGTAGATTCTTATTAAAACAATCTCTTACTGATAGCAGTTCATTCAATTAGCAAAATCATCATTATCAATAAAATATCATTAGCATTGATTAGGAAAAAATATTAACTATACCAATGTTTAATTAGTTACAAAGTATTTATTAATCAATTCAGATATAAAGAAACATTCCAAATTCAACTTTTTCATGCAAATAACATTTTCACTTCATTTAAAATACATCTGATTGAACCAAAACATATGCAAATGCATATTTTGTATCGGGAATAAACAGTCGAAGATGCTTGTAAGCAAATCGAAAACATTCTTACTAAGAAATTGCTAAATTTCCTTAACTTACTGATGCTTTCAAGCGTGTTATTTCTGTTGATATATAAATTTATGGCATTGAAACTTTGCAAAACTGATAATATCAAGCTCCAAATTTTATATAAAAATCATTGAAAGGCCTTTTCCCATGTAAATGAAAATTTTATGAATAAATATCTTATAATTTAGATCATCCACTTGCTAAATTTTCAAAATACATTCGATCACTCTCTACAATACTAGTATTGAGTCATTAACTTAGTTGGTAAATTAATATTTTAAATTAATCTAGTGTTAAGATGTCGACACTTCCTGTAAATTTAAACTGAAAATAATTGTTTAGAAGAGTGATTCTGTAACATTACCATTGTTCGATTTTCATCGTACCTATCAAGTGTACAAGGTTTCTTTAGAAAGAAAGAAAAAAAGTAAAGGAGGAAAAACAGAATCAGAAGGCTATTGAACACAAATGAAAGCAGAATTCAAAAGCCAAAATTTTTTAGGGAAGTCACTAAAACAAAAAAAAATAAAAAAAACCACCCAAATTTTCATAATTCACATATCTTCCCTAAGGTAAATCTAAGTTTAAGCATTTAATATTTACTGTTTATTTAGTTATAATAATAGTTTTTTTTAACTGCTTGAAAAATAATTAACAGCAGAAACTAATATATACACACTTCTGTTATAGCCAAGACAAAACTTTATATTAACCTCACTTGAAAGGAAACTTAAAATATTATTTTAAAAATTAATAATATATAATAAATTATAACTTAATTAATTTAGCTTCTAATGGTTTGTTTTAGATGGTAACCTTCCATTCTAATTACATTTAAATTTATATAAAATTTCACTATTGTTTGTTCATTCCTATTCGATTTTCCATTCGAATGTGATATCTCCTTTAAAATCCTTTTTTCTTAATACATTTAAAAGAGAGCAAATCTGATGTCATAATGCAACTGTAAACATTACAAAATACAACCGTACAGCACGCCTTCCTTCCTAATTTATTCAAGGTCTTAATGAGAACAATATCATGCTTCAGAAGTCCTGATTTTCTCTACATGTAACCGAGAGCACAAAACAATACACTTATCTATTGACGCTACTATATTAACAACAAAACAGAGAAAAGAAATTAGATTTTCTATTTATGTTTGTAACTTATCTACAGGAATATATAATATTCCTGTAGATATATAAAAATATTTAATAATAAGTAAAACTTATTATTAAATATTTTTTTATGTTCATGTACAGTCCAAATTTTATTATATCACAAAAAAAAAAAAAAATTACAGTAATCCTTTGGTGCTTAAAATACTTCAAAATTATGTCATAAAAAAGCAGCTGCAATAATTCTGTAAGTAGCTATCCGTTTATGATTCAAACTATAAAATATCTTTTCATACAAAACTACAATATTTCCTTATTTTTCCGAAACTTGAGCCGATTCTTTTAACCTCAACCTTGACATAATTCCTCACCCGTAAAATATCTCCACCAAGAATTAAGTTTCTGGAAGAAATAAAGTCATGAAATCGTATCATAAAATTCCTCTAAATATAAAATTCAGTGCAGAAAAAAAGGTCAGAAATTAAATAAATAAATTTTTTGTGTGAAATTTATATTGAAAAACAGCAATTTTTCTGGAACTGACGACAATTATAATTTATCTAAAAGTAAATTCGGGAATGCAAACAACAAAGTTGTCAATATAATTAAACCCGAAGAAGGAAGAAAAAAAAAAGCAAAGCCATAAAATCAGTTTTGCAATCCTTTCCCTGAAATGTTCTTGAATTATTTTCAAATCGTCTCATTCTTCAGAATTACTAAATCCGTATAAATTTAATAAGCTGAAAAATATTTATACTTTGGACTTTCCTGTTACCGGATAGGAATACAAAATGAATAATCTATAAATATCAGAATATTGTAAGATCGCACCGTTTGCAGGCCACGGTTCGCTAAATATTGAAATTATTTAACCATACAGATTGCTTAATGATGAATATACAAAGAAAAGGAGAAAAAGTGATAGCGAAGAGTGAATAAATTGCAAATCATATATAAATTTTAAAAAATTTTGCTAATTTGCATAACCTAACAACAAATAAAGCAAGAGAATGAATGCAAATGCTTGAAAATTGTAAATGCTTACAGTTCAGAAATACCAATTTCGAGAATGTAAACAAGACGATGATAAAATTTCTATAAAAAAATAATAATAATAATGCTTAGTAAGGTATATAAATAGCATTAT